TTCACCTCCAGTTCCTACATTATGTAACCATCCAGGGCTCCAACAGAAAGGTCAAAGTTCAACACTGATAAGATGTTCAAGTTGGGAGTGATATTTAGTAGCATTCCTGTCTGAGCGAACTGTTTGTCAGATAGGGGAATACATACACAGAATACTTTATCCAATCATTAGGTTTATGATAGAAGACAGTTTACAGTGTCCCTGACCAGAAACTTGCTTCACCTATTGTCCCAATCAAATTCTTCACAGTTCAAGTTTTGGATTTACACCTGACATCATTGAAGGAGTTTGAAAAATACTAATATGATGCCATTTTCTATTCTTGTATGCTGTGTCTAATACTTACTCTAACAGAAGTTGATATCAACTAAAGTGTATCTTTTGAACAATTTCAAAAGTTACAAATAAAATCCAAGAAAATACCACTCAGTAGATGTATTTTGCTGGATTCTATTCTAAAAAAAATTAACAGAAAAAAATCCATGTCTGGTAATTACTTGATTTAAAGTTTATAAAAATGCTGAACAAAGAATGAAAAAATCTAAACCAAACAGATAAATGATGTTCAATGAATGAATTGTAATATTTCTCAAGTGAATTAGTATGAAATGCCTTGTGATAGTATATACAAAAACTTTCGACTAATCTGTTTAAAATCAGGTAACTTTATTGAAGTATTTATCAAAGAAAACATTTAGTATTCTTCTAAAAATATTTTAAGTTGTTGAAACAGTTATGTCTGTAAACAAAGGGTAGCATATTGTTGAGATGTAAATAGGTGTATTATACCTGTAAACATCACAATTAGCAGTACACAATAGAAGAGTTTACAGTTTCCATCTGACTATTTGTTGGCCTACGTTTAACATGTAGGATGGACTATTCAAGTCGAGCCCACAATGAACCAGGTGCTCTTTGTGACTGTGGTTTATCTTTACAATATAAATGACCTGGTTTTGGTTCCTTTTTGGCAGTGTAACAAATCTATTCATCTGGTGGTCCACCGTTTCTCACATTATGTGTGTATGCTCATTCCGAACAAGTTATTAGATTTATAGGTATACATATATACGGCTGCTCCTCTTATAACAAGTAACAGGTACACAAGTTGGTAGTGTATAAAATTACAGGTGTATGTATGTACCGATATACATATAAACTTTATATAACAATTCAAGCCACTTGGAAGCCTGTTTACTCACATTTGACCTAACTGCGCTTCATGTTTAAAACGTCATAAATTATAAAGAGGTGTACTATATATATATATGTACCAGAAGGTCAAATTAAGTTTTCCTGGCACAATTGACATGATAACAATAATCTTGAGATTGAGATGTGTATTGACTTGTTTCTAAAATATTGGTGTATTTCCTAGTACTGTTGAGGACAGGTGCATGTCTCACTAACTCATTATATCTGTGACCGGGAAGTGACAAATAGAATTGACCTATGGATTAACACTACTTACACAAGGAGAGTTCTCAGTCTGGGTCATTGCTGTATAAAACATATTTAAGATTTAATTGATGACTTGAATACAAGCAATATACTTCAGTCACACAATTTCTGTATTCTGTGGAATTTCGAACTGATTTGCACTATAAAGGGATGTAATTGCATTATGTGGACAGCTCCTACTTTGACATTGATAAATGTCTCCATGCTTCTACTGTAGACACTGGATAAAGAATATACCTATGATCATCTTGACTCATACCAGGTACAATGTTTATTTTGAAATGTAAAAATTTCATCAGTTTAACGTCATTGATAAATGACCTGACTCCTTCTTGTGTATATTAAGTGCTGTTGAAGCTAGACAGTGGTAAATGTTCTACAAGGGGCTATACATATCTTTTTAGTAGAATGAGGGTGCTGCTACAGCTGTGGGAGCCATGGTTACTCCTTCAGGAGCTCCTGCAGTAGGTTGAAGGTGCTGCCACAGCTGTGGGAGCCATGGTTACTCCTTCAGGAGCTCCTGCAGTAGGTTGAAGGTGCTGCCACAGCTGTGGGAGCCATGGTTACTCCTTCAGGAGCTCCTGCAGTAGGTTGAAGGTGCTGCCACAGCTGTGGGAGCTATGGTTACTCCTTCAGAAGCTCATGGAAGAGATTGAAGGTGCTGCCACAGCTGTGGCAGCTATGGTTACTCCTGCAGAAGCTCATGGAAGAGATTGAATGTGCTGCCACAGCTGTGGGAGCCATGGTTACTCCTTCAGAAGCTCCTGCAGTAGATTGTATGTGCTGCCACAGCTGTGGGAGCTATGGTTACTCCTTCAGAAGCTCCTGGAGTAGATTGAAGGTGCTGCCACAGCTGTGGGAGCCATGGTTACTCCTTCAGAAGCTCCTGCAGTAGATTGAAGGTGCTGCCACAGCTGTGGGAGCTATGGTTACTTCTTTAGAAGCTCCTGCAGTAGATTGAAGGTGCTGCCACAGCTGTGGGAGCTATGGTTACTTCTTTAGAAGCTCCTGCAGTAGGTTGAAGGTGCTGCCACAGCTGTGGGAGCCATGGTTACTCCTTCAGAAGCTCCTGCAGTAGATTGAAGGTGCTGCCACAGCTGTGGGAGCTATGGTTACTTCTTTAGAAGCTCCTAGAGTAAATTGAGGGGGCTGCCACTACTGTGGGGGCCATGGTTACTCCTTCAGTAGCTCCTGCAGTTGTCACGACTCAGGGGGCATAGTACTACTACAGTAGCTGCAGGACATGGCCATTGTCACCAATAAGGGGCTATGGTTACTCCTTCAGTACTTCTTTTGATTAAGTTGTGGCCAAGGTTACTGTAGCTATGGGGCCATGTTATAAACTAGATGGAGGGGGTTGTCATAACTAGGGGGGACATGATACTCCTACATTAACTGTAGGGCTATGTTCCACTCCTAAAGAAGATGTAAGGTGCTGTCAACACAGAGGGGAGAAGGGGCATGGTTTCTCTTTCACCACTAAAGGGGCGGGCATGGTCATTGTTACTTGTTCAGTTATGGCCAAGGTTACCCCTACTGTAGCTATGGGGCCATGTTTTACTTCTGTACAGTAGATATAAGGTGCTGTGAATACCACAGGGTCAATGTTTGTAGGAGGTTGGCTACATTTGTCAATACCAACTGGAATATGGTGGTGTTTTCGCCTCTAATGTCCTGATAGTTTTGTATCGATTGTTCAGATCTTGCATAACACAATCAATAAGAGCCTGTGGAGCTCGTTTAAAACCCACTGATTTCATGATACCACTTTTTATACTCTTGTCTCTCTATCTTATTTACATATTTACAAGGAATTACAGGTACTTTGCACTGTGCCAGTGTGAGCGGCACGTTGCAAGCATCTTTCACTGTCAATTCACTATATTACCATCAATTTGTGTGTATTCCATTTGGTAATGCATTATATGTACATAAAGATATAAGGTATGATATAGTTATGGGTAGTACAATGCACATGCATCTCATGTTGTGTCAGAATAGTTTATTTGCGTTATGATTTTTTTCTTTTAAGGAGTGGAGTATTTGTGATTTGCTGTGCTGTTATGTGGGTCATTTAAGCTGGGAGATGTAATCAGTATCATTGTTCTGTTGTAGAACAGCTGTTACTACCGTTAATGTACTGTACAACATATTTACCAGCCAACCATGGCCATGTACCTGAAGATAGTTGATGTGATGAAAACCATTACAATTTTTCCAGAAGCATGAACAATCCCTGTCTGATTTCAATTCTTTATTTATAGAATTTATCCTACTGATAATATGAAATTATATCTGGAGCTAATAAATATTCATTAACTCTTAACAAGTGACAAGGTTGTAGACAGGTGAGATGTTAATTGAGAAATCTACTGAATAAAAGCCCTGATTATGTATAACAGAAATTAATTGGGTCATTTGTATCTGACAGATTAACACTGCGAGACTGATTCTCAAGGACAACATCATTATCTGATACTAAAGGTTAGGGATATTATTATATCTTGTCAGTACACAAATTGTGAAAATATATTTTTGCAAAGTTTAGAGAAAAGTACTCAAGGTGTTGATATGTTTGACCTTCTGTTACAATATAGAAATTTCAGACCATAGCAATATACATAACGTAACTGTTGTCATTACCTGGAAGTTCATATTGTTTTATTAAACTACCTCTCAGTGATGGAAGAGTCTTACAGTTTACAAAATTTGTAAATTTCATTACCCCAAGGTCTCACATTTACCCTTGGGGAAGGGGTAAAGTTTACTGCAGTGTATGTAGGAAAATCACATTTTTGAGCATAATTTGTTTATTTTCTTTTAGAAATAGTTCAATCTTGTTATTATTATTAGCATAGGCTGACAGTTTGATGAGCTGTCACATTTTGACCTCGACTGACCTCCTTGGAGCTGATGGGCGAGGCCAAAAATGGGTCAAATAGACTGTAATTTCAAAAATGTTCTGCTGTTCATGGATAGAAGATTTTGTATAGGAAAATTTAACTTTTTGAGAGTAATTTCTTTTAATTCAAATTAACGTGATGCACAATGTTTGCATTTTGTGTACAATGTAATTGAATTTATTTTACGAACGAAATCATTTCAATGATATGTTACAAGAAGCATTATGACCCGGATGACCGTTAAGGCCCTTGGGCTTCTTTTTATAAAATTGTTTGGTATAGAAAGTGTTAATGGGGCGAAAAAACATCATTAAAAAAAAGATCAAGGTCAGATCTTGGCATGCAGAGGTCAAGGTCATTATGTCTATTTCCAGGAAGTCTTTACAAATGTTCAGATGGATATTGAAGAAACTTTGTATCAAGGTTCAGACGTGAAGAAGCAACAGTAGACCGGTGTATGTTTTAGGTTGCTGAAATGTTAGACAATACTATTTTCAGGAGAATCAAGTTATGATGGACAACTTTGTAATTTCAAGTAACTTTTTTATTTATTGTAGAATTACCTCTACAGCAGTTATTTGTACAATTAATGTTTAGAACAAACTCTCATTTGTGTTTCTGTTTGTATGATTTCAGTGATCCCAATGGTCAGTGGTTAGGCAACCAGGGTCAGCCCGGTCAAGCATTGTCGGTTGTGACAACGGTGTGGGGGACCACACAGTCAACCCAGAGCGGTCCTTTTCAACACAACACGCCCGGCTACACTAATACTACCATGTCCACCACTAACTACACACAGCAACCTCAGGGATTCAATACGCAGATGCAGAAAGGAAACTACAGCAATCCACAAAATATCCCCTTCCGGCGAGATTCCGGAGGTTACCAGAGGCCTAGGTAAACAAACACCTTTATAATTTTTTACACTTCAGCTCTAGACTGCCTACAACATATATTATAACTTGTTTATTTTTTGGAGGTTAATGTTATCACAACATCCATGATCATATGAAAAGGTGTCCTAGGGTAATCAGGCAACTGAGGGATGTTTTTATAGTGTCATCATACTGAACTGTCATAACAAGAACAAGTGACATGACAACTTGGTCACAATGTATTGAAGTGACTATGCACTAGCCAGTTTTGACTTTGAGTTGATTATAACTGGGTGCACCAAGTACCAATCTTTACTCCATGGGGAATGATCTTTAAACTTCATTTATGAATCAGGATCAAGTTTCACCCAGCTGATTATGTTAAGAATGATGGAGCATTAATTTAAGGTATCAAGTCTGACAATTGACATTACCATTATTGTTGATGGAATAATAATCACCCTCAATTTTATTACACCATCCTGGAATCACATATACAACAAACATTTGGTTTTCAATCAATATCGGTGTTCATTCTCAAACCCAAACAAGAAAATTAGCTTCAACAAAATCTCGCACCATCAGCAATGGTCTCCTAGGTGATCTTCATTTCTCAGGTTTACTATTCTAGGTTTTGATGAGGTCCATGTTGCTTCATCCCACATAAGTCCACTCCCTCTGTGGCCTCTTGACTAAGGCCACTCCCTCTGTGGCCTCTAGACTAAGGCCTCTCCCTCTGTGACTTCGATACAGACATAGCTACAATTTGTTTACCATTTAATTGAAAATTACTGCGTATATATTTGTCATGTCTATTCCAAGCTGACTTTTCTCTCCTCGCAAGCTCTAGTAACAAGAATTGAACTTTCTCACTAGTGTTTTAATGTGTCATACACAATCTTGTGACGGAGATGTTTTCCTGTTCATCAGAATGTACTGAGATGAGATAAAGAATGTCACAGTTAAATCCTATAGCAGGCTAGTAAACAGTATATGCACATTGTTCTGTTGGTGGTTGATAGATTTTCCATTGGTGAGCTAATTATAGAAGTGGGATTGGTGACCATTTCCTGATCCTATTTATGGCTTGATACTGCCAGCCCTTGATCGCTAAAACAGAAATTATCTTTGCCAATAGCTTTTTCTATCTCTGTTTTAACTGATAACCTTATTACCATAACATATATATTTTTTTTTAATTATGCGATCCTTTGGCTGTTTAGTTATGTTTAAGTCTTGATATATATAAATTTCATTTTTTTTTTTTCAATTCATCTTTCTAATAATACCTGAGTTTTATTATTATGAGCAGTACTGAGCATCATAACATGTTTAATCATAATGAAAAATTCACTGATAATGGGTATAATGGCCCACAAGAAGGGTACATGCTCCTTTGCATATCTTTATTTCTGTAATGTATCTGTATGTATCGCAGGTCACAAGAACATTAGTTCTGTTTGTATATATTACGTGTCTTATGAATTAGTTGTTATCAGTTATCTTTCAGCCTTTGTCATGAATTTAAATTGAGTATTGCTTGTTCAAAGTAAACTGATAATAGTCTGGTTACTGTAGGTTTTGAAGGATGAGGGAAATTTTTTGTTCGATGTTCACCTAGATCAGTCACCGGCACAAGGTCATGATGTGATATACATGTGTTTTTACCTGTTTTATGCTTTTTCCTGTGCAGTGGGTATCCTCCAACTCCAAACACACCAGGCACAAATACACCGAATGGTCCAAATGATTACCCAGGGGGCCAGGCTGGTAATGCCGCCCTATCAGCAGCACTGGTGGCAGCAGCTGCCACAGCCACAGCAACAGCAACAGCCACCGCCAGCATGGTAATGCAAGAGCAGCAAAATCAACACAATATCAACATGCAGATGAACATGAATGGCCAATATGCACCAAATATGCAGGTAATTCCGTTTGTCAAATATCAGAGACTGACCTTGACCTTGTTAACGCGAATAATGAAATGATAGCTACCATAAGAATTAGATTCCCTCTAGCAGATGGATATTTGCTTGGTTTATTGCTTTGTGAGCAACTAGAGTCAGTTGATGAAGGAATTGGTGTTTCTTGGCAAAAGGAGGTGTATACCTTACTGAACAACATGCAGGAGGTCCACTGCATGCTATTCAAAGCAGTTATCTTAAAGTGTCTGGCATAAAGATACAACTACAACAAACACGGGGAGATCTGTGATATCTGCTTCCTGAGAAACAAAAAACACTGCAAGTAATGAGCATCAACCACGTAACTCAGATCTTCACCAGAGGTTGAAATGTTTGGTGCTCTTCAACAGAACAAGCAAAACTAGAGAACAGAACATGGCTTTTAATGGATTTTTAACAAAATATGTTGTATATAGATATATTGGTTAAGGATCGTTAAATCTCAAGGACATACATTTATGCACTATTACAAGAATGTCTCTTAACATTTCATGAAATGTTTCTGAAATGTGCTGAGTAGAGAAATAAATTTATGGAAGTGTTCAATGCTTGAATAATTAGTATCTTTTGCGTAAGTGATCAGATCAGAAAGGTCCCTTAACTTCTCCTCTTAAGTATGTGTATAAAATGTTGAGGCATGTATCGGATACACCTGTACAATCAATGTAGGCAGTTTCACCTGGTGATCAGTGATCGATGACCATTATCTCAGCTGTATGAATATTTCATGGTAATAGATATAGACAAGAGATAAACACCAGAGTCTGTTGATCTGCTGAAACAAAATGTGTGTTACAAAATGCTGTAGTCAATACAAATCAGAAGGGAGGTGACGGAGGGTGGCAGGGAATGCCACTAATTGGGTCATCCAGTCTATCAACAATTCTTTTGTACTGGGGATAGCTCACTACCTTCATTACCAATCAGTTCAGGGACTTGTACCTGTGATTCCGGTGGTGTTATATCAGGTATCGAAATAAAATTACTAATGATAGAGTTAATGGCATTTCAGTCAATAAAAACAGCAGAAATTATCTGAGGAACCATTTTAAAAAGTCAGTGTTTTGATGAACTGTATCCTTCCTATTTCATTAAGAAGTTAGCAGTTCAATATTTCTGTTTTTCATTAACTGATTCTGTGGTTCTGTAATTAAGACAGGTATTGGCATTGTAGCTGTAAATTAAATGTTTTTTTTTCCCTTCATTAACAGCAGATGCCAGGCCAGCAATCATTTAATAATCAGTACCCAGGCATGCCACAGCGACCTACAGGCCCAATGGTACAGGGTCCTGGTCCAGGTCCCGGTCCTGGTCCTGGTGGCCCCATGGTGCACAAGTACAATGTGGGGAGCAGAAGAGCACCTTACCCCAACCCCTCACAGATGATGTCGCAAAAACGACAGCAGTTCCCTAATGGAGTACAGGTAAGACTTAACATGTGGATCGCCATGCATATCATATCATGAAGGTATGAATAATTAATGACTGGTGAGGTGTCTGAATCGGATATGATAATTGTAGTATAATGATATCTGTCTGTCATTTTCATCTATAAATAATCTCGATCATTTTTAATCAACTGTGTAGGTATTTTAACACCTGACATATTTTCATGATGCAATATTTCGTAAATGATAAATCCTAGATTCTTTTCCAGTGGAGTTGATATATGTCTAATGTAAGATATATTGTATTTTTTTCACTTGTATTTGAAGCTGTTGATATCAGGTCTGTTCGTGGCATGAGAAAAACGAAAACTTAAAGGAAAAAACGAGGAAATGTTTCTGACAAGTTTTCAATTAGATTATTGATATTTGCTCAAGGTAGAATGTAAAAGCACACAGCAAAACATTGTGTACAAAATTTAGAACAGAAAGCTTTTTGTGTCTTCAGCAGTATGGAGGGCCACAGCCTTATGCGGTCCAGCAGCAGTACCCCCAGAAGCCACAGTACCCTGCACAGCAGCCCCTGCCCTCACCCACATATGGCCCACAGCCTGGCATGCGCCCCAACGCACCCCCTCACTACGTTAATGGCCATAACCAATATGGCCCAAACCAGTTTCCCCCTCAGGTTCGACAGATGCCCCCACAAGGTCAGCCCTTCAATCAGTACAACAACCAGGGCCCGCAGCAAAACATGCAGGTAAGTGTGGTGGTCTGTGTTGTTTTGTAGCCCCTGATTATCCACAGAAGGTAAATTTCCCATGTCATCACAAAAATGTTATCTTACACATCCTTGACCTTTTCTTACCTTTATCAAATTGAACATGGACTTTTTTTGTTTAAGTGAAAAATTTCCTGTCGGCCATAGCTGTTGAACTTAAAATGTCTATTAAATTCTAATTGATAATGTTTTTGATGAATTATGTGATAATACCATGTTCTAAAGTTTATATTTCAATACCGATTCAAGACCAATGGCTAGACGATATTAGTGCTATTATTGAGGAAGGATAGAGCCTGACACACCCTCTTTACTTTGAACTCCCATATAACTGACCCATGTACCTTGTATTTCAGTCCTCCAATATGAGCTACCCACACTCACCCTTACCAGGAAACCCAACACCCCCCATCACCCCGGGGGCTGTACAATCCCCATACCCAGGCCCCATGGGTATAAAGAAAGGTAAGCTGCACACCTTTAATACTTTACTGTATAATATATACTATTCAACATAACAAAGGACCAAATACATGTGTAGCCATTAAATATCATCACTTGTTTTCATCATTGTTAGTAATTAAACTGGGAGATGTCTACACACTGAGTCCTTTTATAGCCTGTGTGAAATTTGATACATAATTAGAAAAGAACATAACTCATTGTGTAATATTGCAGATCTGGATGAATTGCGTCTGACATTTCCCGTGCGAGATGGGGTGGTATTACCTCCGTTCCGACTGGAACATAACCTTGCAGTCAGCAACCATGTCTTCCATTTGAGGGAATCTGTGTTCCAGACCCTCATGTGGAGGTAAGCTATACTATAGAAAAACTAGAAATTTTGGTGAGGAGAAAGTTGATGTGAAATATTTCTCTCATAATTGTAAGAAGGGAGGTAACTCCTTCATAATAATTACCACAACCTGCAATAATTGACAGAGTCCAAGTGGGTGTTGATATTTATTTTACATCTTCGATTTGAAACAGATCGGACCTGGAACTGCAATTAAAATGTTTCCACCATGAAGACCGACAGATGAACACGAACTGGCCCGCATCTGTCACTGTCAGTGTCAATGCGAATCCTCTTACCATAGAACGAGGAGAAAACAAAACCTCTCACAAACCACTTTACCTCAAAGGGGTGTGTGCGCCAGGTCGCAACACCATACAAATCACCGTAACAGCCTGCTGTTGTGTAAGTTTTTTATTTGTTTTTAATAGCTCATTAACATAATGAAGCCTTTACATATAAACAAATTGTTTGAAGATACCAGCAATATTTGACAATACCTTCTGATATAAAGGGAACCATTTAGTGTCTAATTATTCAAAATTTCTGTATTTCTTTCAGTCCCACCTATTTGTGCTACAGCTGGTCCACCGGCCAAGTGTGCGATCAGTGTTACAGGGACTCTTGAGAAAACGACTGCTCCCTGCAGAACATTGTATCACAAAAAGTAAGTGTCCATCATTGTTTTTAGGGACAAATGATCTCTTTCATCATTAGTCCTTGTAAGGGTTTTAAATTGTAAAAATATATAAACAAAAACAAAATGTATCATGAAAATGTGTTGAAAAATCCCTTGAAATTTCATAAATACTAGATCCTATGAAATATTGTCAATCAAATGTTTAATACAATTATTTTGTAGTTAAAAGAAACTTCAGCAATGTGGCATCAGGTGGTGGCTCATTGAATGGAGAGGATGGGGTGGAGCAAACGGCAATCAAAGTATCGCTAAAATGTCCCATCACCTTTCGAAGAATCACCTTACCCGCGCGGGGACATGAATGTAAACACATACAGGTAAGCAATCAAAACTGGCACTACTTTGGTTTTATGTTTTATCATATAAAATCAATAATCAAAACTAGTAATTGAAAACAAAATAAGAACATGGAGACCCTTGAAAAATTACAAGGAGAATATGACAAAGTTTACCTGCCATGTAAATTTCATAACCACAACACAAACTAACGAGCTTCAAACACATCTAACTTAACATCTCACAAGGAATACTCCTCAGTAAGATCATGAAGGTGACCATGAAACTTTCCCATAGTCTTCATCAACTTACAACTTGCCATACCCTGTAATTTAAGCTTGTCTGTTATTGACATCTTTATTTTAGAAATTCTAATATTGGGAACAAATTAACAAATCAAATTAAAACAAGTTACATCAACTTTGCTCTACTGGATTATCATACATACCTGGTTTATCAGTCTGTACATGTGATTCTATCATAGAACAATGTTGATTGTTTCAGTGCTTTGATTTGGAATCCTATCTACAATTGAATTGTGAAAGAGGATCCTGGCGATGTCCTGTTTGCAAGTAAGTATAGAATATCATTGTTTTGTGACTCGCGTTTCTTGCACAACTTTTTATGTTTAACTGTCAACAGAATACCCAGAATATGCTTGCTGTACTAATTAAAATACCCCAAATGATATTACATTGCAAAGATCATTTAGACTTCAGCAGTACAGAGTGGAATGTTTTTATTTGATACTTAACAGAGTTGTAATGATTTATGTTCATTCCAATAGGAATATAAACACCTCTGTTTTATGCTTGTATGAATGACAACTGTAGTTTGTGTAAGAATATTACTTGAGTTAGAATTATAAAACTAGTGTGTTATGATGTTGATGACTGTACAGATGTTGATGTGATGATTGTACTGATGTTAAAGTGATGACTGTACTGATTTAAAAAAAATGTTTGTTTCCAGTAAAACAGCATTATTAGAAGGGTTAGAAATAGACCAGTATATTTGGGGTATTCTAACCAACCTGTCGAGTACAGAGTTTGAAGAAGTGACGATAGATCCAATGGCAGCCTGGAAACCTGTTCCCCACAAAAGTATCAAAGAGGAAGATGGGGGAGGTAAGTCTACTATCAATACGTCAATTTGTCACCAACATTCCCAGTTCAGATATACACGTTGTCCTAAACAATTGTCACTGATTTTCTCCTTGTAATGAAATAAGACAATTTTTAGTTCAGAGTGAATTTACCAGTTTTAGAAATTCATCATAATATTTCTGCATCAAGTCAAGATCTGTTCCCATTTAGGGCACGTACGGCCCATGTCACACCTATTGGTGTTTATTCCAGCCAAGACTTTAATTGATACTGATTTTTATATTACAGGAGATGCATGTGCAAATGCACGGTGGACAAAGGCCATGTCCCCAACAAGTATGCAGTTACCAACTATGAACTCATGGGACTCTGGTGGACGGCAGTCTTCACCGTTCCAAATGCGGCCCTCATCACAAGGTACACTGTTCTGCCATGATTGCAGCAATATCAGTTCTAAATTACTGCTTTAATTAAATAAGGATTTATCAGTCATATAATAGTGACCTTTTATGTCCTTGCACCTGAAATCCTGAGTCAGATATAGGCAAATTCTATGTATAAGTCCCCTACCGGTAAACTGGGTGGGGAAGGCTGCTCAAGATTTTGTCTACGTTTGAAACCTTTTATACAGGTTTTGGTAAAACACTTTCAATACGTGAATAATTGTGTTAGGACGATACTTTGTGTAAAGATTTTTCGGGGTTTTTTTAATTGATGTTTTAAGGTATTTGGAGTTCGGGATGGAAGGTGGTTGGGTTTTTTCATAATTTTAGACATGTCTGGGACTTAACTTCATTTTTCGTAAAAAAGGTTAAAGTTTGATAATGGTTCATTGTTTACTTTATAATAGTATAAGTATGCAGGGATCAAACATGGATGCTGTAGATCCAGATTGTAAAAAATTATGAATTTTATCCTGAAATATTAAGTGTAATAGTTTGAATGGGCCAGTAGGTGACATGTGTTGCTTTAGCAATGCTCGATATAATTGTTACAATCTGTTTTTATAGCCATTTCAGTTGTACCAAAGTAGGCTTTTAAATATTTAATAGTATAATTGAACCATCTGATAGAATAATAAGGACATTTCAGAAATCTTCAATGTGTTTATGTTGTCTGTGCTTTTTGTCAAACTCTGTTGGAATATTGATTGTGAAAAATTCTGTTCACAATACTCTAAACCCAGCAATCTGTAATTTGCTTCATGTGAAGTCAGTTATTTGTTTGCAAACTTAATAGGAACATTCTGCGAGATGTGAATTGATTACATAGAAATAAAGATGAGGAAAGTATATTTTGTGGTGATGGGTATACAGCATTTGCTAATCTGGTTTTTTCTGTTTCCCCAGGACCAGTATATCCTACAATGCCAGGCGGTGAAGTGATGTCAGGGGGGCCACCACAACCAGGCAACTATCCACACCAGGGAGGACCAACAGATTACCCCCATTCGGGGCCTCTGTCGCACATGCCTTCTGGGCATCCTACGGGAGATTCTAGTGTTATGAACAATACAAACTCAAATGATATGCATTCTGTGGACCTCAAACCTCCCACATTGCACAACTCAGGCAACTATCCATCACCTGTGCCTGTGATGAGTCCAAGTGGGGATCACAGGTTACACGGGGAGGGGCCAGGCACACCTACTACTCCACAAACTCTTAATCATAGTGGGGGAGGAGGAGGTGCACATCCTCTGTCCCATCCTCCGCAACCAAATAATAGTTTAACCAAAACGTCCACAAATGGCGACACGAGTGCAGGAGACTTTAACTTTGACCCAGCTCCTATTTTAGAAAGTGAGGGAGACCCAACTCTGGATGTAAGTAAATGATGGATGGTAATCTTCTTGAATATGTTGTGGTAGTGGCAATAAAATGTCTTTTATTAAGTTTTAGCCAGAATTGTAAAGATAATTGGAGAGTAAAAATCTTTACTGTGAACAGAATTTACTTCTACCTTGTGAATCCTTCTCTCTCTACATCTGTTTGAAACATTGTTTATTGTATACATAGTGTGACATCAAAGCTATCATGTACGAATATACTTTCCAATTTTATTTCAGTTGCAACTAGACAATTTGGGAGACCCCATTGAATTATTATCATATCTCGGACCTCCTGAAAGTTCAAGTTCACCAGCACCCAACAGTGGAAATAGAAACAATCAAAGCAATAGTACCACCAACGCCACAGACGACCTTTTGGCCCTGTTTGAGTGATTTGTGGGTTGCCATGACAACCAAGTTGCATGATCCAGAGCAAAACTACTGTGCAAAACATTTAATGCAATATTGTTGTTGTTACACCTGTTAAAAAAAAAATACATAAAAGAAAAAAAAACTATATGACTTTTACAATACAAGAAGTGAAAGAAAGAAACAGACTTTCAGACAGAAATTCACTTCCATTTTATCATGTGACCAGGAATTATTTTTACACTTCATCCTCATCATCATACATCAAGGATTTACTGATCATCTCATCATTGTTTTAAGAAAAGAAAAATCATTGTCTTCATCATTTTGAAGGCCAGTGCGTGTGATATGTGCATGGAAAAGAGACCATGATAGTTACATGTTTTTATAGTGATAATATTTCTAAGTGACCAAAACACTATAGAGTTATTTATTGTGGATCTGTACCATTGTCCATATATGTGTTACAAGTGGTACTGTTGCCTTGTTGTAGTTAGGCACAGTTTAGACTACAAGGAAATCGGACAGCGCTGGTGTGTTGTAACTTCCCCCTTTGAACAAGTTGGAGGTTAAGAGGTTTTCCTTCATGTAACAACACAGCTGGAAGCCTGTGTACTGTGGCCGGACACCTTGGGGGCCAAGCAGCCACCTCCAGACAACATTCACTGACCTTCATGTGTCCTTCAGGAGTGGTTAGTGACGCTTAGATCTGAGTGGCCAGTGGAGAGACAGATGTGCTATAGATAGATACTGTCCACCTCCACTGGACCAACTTGACCTGTTGACCAGTGTCATATAGGGTCAGATGACAGGTCTTCAGATACTTGCCAAAACCAAGAGAGACAAAACAGTTTTTACTGGTGATATCTGACCTGTAGTGTATTTATTTATGGTATAATGTGCATTATTGAACTAATTATGAACAGCCATGTTCATACTGGGCAGCAAATGGTCTTGGAAATATTCAGTGAAATATAAAAATAATTAAGATAATTATATATTTAATGAAAACCCAACCTCCCTGTATGTGTGTACATTGTGTAATATATTCCAAGGGCCAAATGCACATTGTGTACTTAATTATTATTATTACTTTTTTTTTCTTTTTTCGTAAGGATTTATTTGAATAAGAGAGAGGGTGCAATTTGTTTTCTTAAAATGATCACTTTCATTTTACACATAAAACATACATCTCTATCATTGTTCAGATCATGACTTTGGTGTTTTTTAAATGAAATCTTTCTAGAGGCAGCAACATTCAACATGGTGTACAATTAGATATATGAATTGGTTTATACACTATTTGTTTTTCGTAATATATTGGTAGAAATTTTTTTAAGCATACTGCAAACGAGTGCAAGATTCACCTAAATAATCTGCCTATGAAGCAATACAGAGAGGGGACAGATCACAATGTTATAATCACCATACATCATGTGTACCCAGGCCCACTGTTGCCTTAATTTTTATTTTTATTTACATACAATCCTTTTGATCAAATCAAAAATGTTCTGTATTGTTTTTATATTCTTTTTTTCTTTCGCACTACAGCCACTGACAGTAAGCGCTGTTTTTTGTTTTTTGTAAATTGGAAATAGATGGATGTTAACTCATCACTGAAAAGCAAAACTATCTGAATTTAAAAAAAAAACAAGCTGGTATATGTATACTCCTTTGTATTATATCAGTGGTAAAGGATCACACAGTATTGGTAGTGTTGATACGCTGCTAACTTTAAAATCTTTAAGAACTCATTAGCTTTCGAACCATTTATGCTGATTAGGCAGAGTTTTTTTATCAACATCCAGTGTTTTCCCCGATTTGTTGTAGTGTGGATTAGCAAATTTCAGAGTAAACACTTTGCCATTGTTCCTTCTACTTAATCTTTATCCTGTCTTACAATGATTATTAACTTAAAGGATATACCAAAGAAACACAAGAACAGTAACAGTTCAAGTGATCTGTACTTACAGTAGGAACAGTGGAAAGGGCATTGTCAGACTTTGGGAATTCTTTTCACTTTCATAGCACTCTGATAAGGACCGAGATGTTGCAATGTTTGGCCTCTTCAGAAAACGTATTTAGGGATGATCCGTTTTTGTTCCGTACAAAATGAATTTCTTTTAAATCAATGACAAATTTTAAATATGCTCCCTTATGATAAGGCCTAAGTTAAAGTTTTATGAAACTGTTTATATTGAAAAAAAATTTATATGGGAGGGTAGTATGTAATTTGTTCTCTGAATAATTTGTTATATTAAAAACCAGCAATCTCAACGTGGCAATCGTACCTTGCAATTGTTTTATCATTTTATTTCACTGCTTAATCATTTCATTTTGCTTAGAGTTGTGTAGACAGCATGGATATTCTTCATACCAGACTAAGGGGCACTCCATTTTATAATTTATTTTTCATTTCATCTATATAATTGAATTCAATGGTCTATCAAGTGGTTGTGTTGATAAGACTGTTGTGTCTCCTACTCTGGCGAGCCATCTCGCCCCGCCCCTTAGTCAGGCATGATGCATCCGTGTCATATTAGTACAGATTTATTTTATTACCAAGTTGATTTAGCTTGTTGTAGTAATATTGTAAAGTGTACAAAATTTTGACAGTTGTATATTAAATGTTATTTATATATGAAACCATCTTGTGAGAAAATTGTTTCGTCCATCATTGTATTCCTTATTATTGAGAGATCACTGTACAAAATACCCCCAAAACAAACACACATCATCTTTCTATGCCTTATGCGAAGGAACTTTCTCAGACGAGCTTCAAATCATAACACTTCAATATCAGGGTGGAAATGACATGTATCTTCTATCGATGTGCCTTCTCCTGCACATTTCTCTGTAAATCCCTTACAAGGGTATTCCCTTATGTTTTAACTCAAGTTTTTATTGATTGTTTTATTTTGAAATATGAATTAAAAAGAAACTTTTGTTTTAATATTGTTTGATCTATTTAAAGAATCTATTATTATTTTACACTACTGTTTTTACATGAAAAGAAAGTTTTCATTATGGCTTTACCTTTGGGTCCAGGCATTCTTCTGTAGAAACAGGTATTGTGAAAACTACTGCTACCTGTCCAGTATTAGACTTGAATACACACCTGTGAATGATAAGAATATTTCGATTTCATGACAATAATTATCCTGGACTATTTCATTCAAAACAATTTGATGTCTTTTATCAGAGCTGAATTTATAATAAACATTCAATGCTCAAATTACATTCCATTGGACCCATCCTTTTGTCCTCAACAAATATCCGAAATTAGACAATTAAAAAAAAAACCTGGTTTCTTAAATTTTGAAATTTTAAGAAAAATGTTGCACTTTTCAAGCCATAGTGTGACATGTTTTACAATATTTGGTTTTGCTGCTAGATTTGCTTTAAAGGGTGTCTTTTAGTATGTATGTTTTTATTATAAATCAAAAGAAATGATGACATTATCTCCATGACAACATGGTTCATTTTAGCCTTTTCCTTCTGGTATGGCAGGGGAAATAACCCAGAAGCTGTAAATAGATATATTGTCTTGTTGATATACATTATTACTAGTATATATTTGTGATTACACAGAGAACAGGACCTTGTAGATTTAGGGAAACAAACCTAGATACAATTTAGAATTTTTTGTGTTGTTTCATTATTTGATTTTTTCCCCCGACGACTGTTCTCATAAAGAAAATTATTTGAGAACGTAATTTGATATTATTTATTTTTCACCCTTGCCAACTTACATTTTGTACATGAACATGTGTTTTAACTTATCTGTTCTTCATGGCAAACATAGTCATGGCTTTTTAGGTGACAAGGCGCTTATTGATAAGGGTACAAAGACAAGTCGGTACTAAAAACAGGCTGGTCTGAGATGGTGCGATTTGTACATCAGGAGGCTTGGTGTACGATTCAGCCAATTACTGCTGATATTTACACCTTATTATTGTACCACTCAGTGGTAGATGCCCACCATGTACACTTAGTAGTAGAGATTTTTGTATTTATTCTAATAAAAGCCCTCTTTCTATATTTTCTTGCTCACATCATGAAAAAACATTTGATGTAATAAATTTTTTATATGTCTGTGCACCTCAAGTCTGGACCAAAGTCCAAAACAAAGTACACTGCAATGCAAACAGAAGAGGAACACAGGAATAGTTTCTATTTTAACTATTTAATTAAACGTTGTATCCAGAACTGACCTAGAAAAGTCTCTTCTTTGGAAAAGGACAAGTGTCCAGGGCATTTATTAGAATAAATATGAAATCTGTGTTGTGAATTCTAGAGTGATGAAAGCTTGAGATATTTTTGAAGTGTCTAACTTGTACTGAAAGCCATTTTGTGAGAGCCTTGGCACCATGATTTTCTTTTCCAAAGTCAAGCTGATAATCCAAAGACTTGCTCTTAAATTATTTTTGATGAGAAATTTTTGCATGGTACACCTTCTAGAAAGCAATAGAACACACATTTTCTTGCAAGAGAATTAACTCTCAAAAAAAATATATATGATTTACAAAATACAGCAATTGTTATTCTTTTTGCCATAGCTGAACAGCTTGTATGTAGGTGTTTGTGATAGAACTCTATAGGGAAGGAATATTTGACTTAAATCTCAATAAAAAATATTATATGTCTTTATTGCATGATATAGACAACAGCTTGCTATGATTACTGAATTACGTATTTGTGCCCTATCCCTTAGTCAGCACAAATTTATGTGAATTCAAAAAAACCCTTTTCAAATTAGATCTATCCGACATCTCTTTGAACCATTGTTTAGTATTATGCATAAAATACAAATGAATTGATAGAAATAATATAGTATTTTTATACAAAGTATAGATGTCAAGTAGTCCTTCTGTGCAGAGGAAAAATGAACTTAATTTGTGAGCTCAACCTAGCTTGCTGATTTCACCAACGTGTGTACGTTGATGCACGCTTGACTGGGAACAGTCTTATGGGGTGGACTCTAATTTATATCAACTGTTACCACATCTACAAAACCCTAATATATACATAATCATTATATATATTATATATAAACTTAAATAGTATAGCGATCTTCATGTAATATTGTTGTAATTAACAGTCAAATGAGTAAAAAGATAAAAAATCTTTACAAAATTGAGTTCTTGGTCTTGTGTTATATTTGCAGTTGTTTTGATTTATTTTGATTCTGACATAATAACAAGCACCTGTGAAGTGGCCTTCCAGGTTGATATTTCAGTGTGATGACACTATAAATCAGTCTTAAAGTGGCCTTAACTTCCTTGGACTGATCAGTGTCTTCAGATTACCTCAGCTGCTGCAAGATGTTAACTTCAAAATAAAAATTGATACAGAGAGCTGGATACAAACACAGGTACTGTTGCCCTGGTATTTAGAGCTCTTTATTTGAAAGGTAAGTATACACTGAACCAGTCTAGTGACTGCAATGTTCAGTCGGATTGAACAGTTTAAGTGATTGGTATAGTAATATTTAGTAATATTTTACCAGATCTGCCAAACTGAACAAATTATTTTATCTAGGTGACGCCAAAACATGAACCAAAGGAAATGGAAGATATTAATAATGCCATACCTTCTATTGAGTTTAAATTTGGAAAATTGTTATTTAATTGAAATTTTTGATCATGCAATACCTGCCATAGCTTCCTATGTACAAGTTACAATCCTGACAACACGGCCCGATGTTTGCATGATAATACCACACTGACAGGGATCCCGAGGTCAAAAGTAAAGGTAGTTAGTCAGTGGGGATGGTTTTACAATGAAAAAGCCACCAATGTTAATTATCCTAACTTATTCAAATATCCTAGCAAAATATTTTCTGAAAAATTGCTGAATTCAGATAAAAGAGTGTGAGAATACCAAAGCGAAGTACAAAGATGTTAACATGTGTATCACTAATAGTATGTAAAGTGATGGCAAATGTAGCTGCCCTACACAATGACCATATGCAAAAGACTAGTACCTGACATTCTGATAAAAAGCGAGGTGACCATAAAGGTACACACTTCTTGAAAAGGCGGGGACCCTGACACCAATACTGCCTTAACCGATGATTTCAAATTTTAACTCAATTCCCGAAACCACTCGTTCACTTTATTGATAAGAACTTTGATATTGTTATAATGGAGTGTTAATGTTCTATATTGATGACACCTTTTAGTGAATGCAACATATTTAACCTGGTAATTTCTGATAGAAAATGAGAGATCATTCCCTCTCTGCACCTTAAGCTCTGATTCTGAAGAAAAGCACTTCCACTTTACACCTGGGAGCAAATGTTCATCAAATGATACTTTCAAATGTGATTCACTTCGGAGATGCATGGCGGAAATTTTAATAAGTTCATCAACAGTACCAGCACAAAGACAGAGCCGAACCCTCTTTTCAAAGCAGACAAAAAAATATTTATGGCAATGAAAAGTATACATGGACAATTGTATCATTTTAATGCACCCAAAGCGATAACATAAGAGAATAGACTGAATAAACAATGTTTGACAAGTGGAATGGCGGTTATCAGAAGAGAAAGATCTGGTAGAGGAAGGATAGTAATCTGTCTTGTGAGGCTCTATAAGGAAGAGTATTTTCATGCCTGTAGGTGAGGGATATGTACAGCAGCTGAAGCAGTCATGATGAAAAAGTGTGGGAAAAAATCCCAAACATTTAGTATTTTGTTCACCAAGTGAAAAGACAAGACATTCCTTCAGCATGTGAATGGAATGTCCATATCTTACTTGTTAACTGGAAAAATTTGAATTCCGAGACATAATTAGCTTTCCTTCGAACCATTGGATATCGTAAAGGTAGGTTTGCATGATCTTCAGAACAGGAACTAGTTGTTTATTAATAACAAAATTCTGTAATAATTGCTGACAGAGATATAATAACAAGTCGCGGTATCTACTACAGACATAAGCACAGAATTATGATGCCGAACATTCCATATTGTCTCTACATTGGGATCAAATACACACCAGTTTTGTTTTCATCTAAGATATTTTCCTCTGAAACAATTACAAACCAGCATATTCTCATTTTATAAGGCATCAGGTGTTGACTTCCTCGGAATTAACAATTATCTTGAAACTAACATTCTATATAAGGAAGGATTCTTTTGATATTTTGGACTTTTCATGCAGTGATCTCAACATTTTTAATAAAGTTTACCTCCTTCAACTACTGCCAGAAATATGGTGTAAACATTGTGAAGGCGATATTACCAGGTCATCTATATCAAACAGTAATAGTGTGTATTATTGAGTAGCTTGGTAGTAATGGACTCAAACAATAGGAATATATTTCATTTGTATCTGAAATATTCTAAAAATTAATTATCAATGTTCAAAAATTAGGAAATTCATAAATTAGATTTTGACTTTTCTTTCAATTTTTCGCCTCTTAGACTTCAAAATTTAAGCTTTAAGCATCATTGACAAGTACTTGAAGGACGAAACGGCTGTATGATGCAGTTTCATTCATTACTTGTTATTTGGCTACAGTATCTAACTCTAAATTTGTATCTCAATGTGTTATCCACTCACAAATGCCTTTTCTGCAATCCCAAGATAGTTTCATAAAAGTTTCTGTAAGAAAAGTTTAAATTTCATTTTAGTCAGAATATTGGACTATTAAACCTCTATTTGACATGTAATTTTCATTTGTGTTGACCAATTCATAATATCCTCTCTAAGAAAAATGACTGACAAATTTTCCTCTGACCAACTCACGAAGAGACAAATTCCTTCACTGATGGGATTATGAGGAACATAACCATCTAATTGTATTTAAGACTGAGAATGTCTATTAATGGAAACACATTTTTATATTGGTTGACACAGGAAGACAAAATCATGATGAGAGAGAAGGCCGGACTTCCGTATTGGGTTGGAAACCTAAACAGGTGGCTGAAGATCAAATGAGTAGATGTGCACTAACATGTAACAGCAAATCAATGCAGATGAGATTTCTGATCATCCAAACCATTGGGCAGAATCAGAAAATAACTCAGACTTCATGATTCTTGTATTGTTTTTTCAATTCCCCATCTTGAGTGATAAAAAACAGGATGATGGCCTATTAACGTCAGTGACAAAGCTGAGCTATTCTAGGCTTTTCCAATTGAACCCTGGTTAACAGCAGGATGGTCCACGCTCTACCAAAAAGTACACTGAAATTTTCTGGTGAGGACTGCAGTGGAAGGTATGAGCCACTCTGGGCTTCAGATTCTTTTACTCATTATTTTGGCCAATCACTAATTACAATAATGATTAACTGAAAAATATGCATCACAGCCAACTCATATCCATTTGAGATACTTGGAACAGTACTAATCTGTATAAAAGGAAAAAAAAGGGGTGGTCGGGTGGCACAGTGTTAACGCACTCGCCTTTCACCTAGCCGACCACGTGGGTTTTCCCCAGGTACTCCGGTTTCCTCCCACAATAAGACCCCTCGCGCACTTACATCTGGGCCAACAAGAGTGATTAGTATAAGTTGACATAACTTGTTTCGCAATTGTTGTAAAATAAATAAAGTTTATATATATATTTATAAAAGGAAAATTTCCACTGAAAAGAGTTAAATTTGACAATGTGGTGTTGGCCTTCAAGAGATCAAAGAGGAAAAGTGACTCAGTGGCAAATGGATGAAAACTTTTATTTCTAGCTATTTTCACAGAAAAATTGAGAGTTTTCATTATCCTGGTGCTACAATTCATAATAATTCTGTAAACGGCCAAAATGCTAACAATTTTTAATCTCAGGAACATCACTGCATTTACAGTGTCTGTCATGCTCTTTGTCTTTTCATCAGAATCTCAATTAAAATTGTGCCCTAGATACATTTAAAAAGATATTGTGAATAAATTTTAACATGACAGTGCATTAAAAACATGAGGCACAATTCGTCTTCTAATGTACTTTGGATATTGTTCGGTCAAGAAGTTTAATAAATTTGTTGAAGTGTGATTTGTGAATGGCATAATCAGAAGGCTATAATATCAAATATTTAACTCCAAAGACAACTGTTACAGCAGCAGACACAGCTGTAACGCCTAGCAGGGTAATATTATCTGTAGTTAACAGGAACAATCAAACAGTTCCCCAAGACGACCATAACAACATCGGTTCATTGGTGGTCACGGTGTGAGTGTGATCCTACAGATAGTAAGACAGGAGGAAAAGACAGGAAAGTAGATGTAAATGACATAGGATCCCTTATCATCAATTAAAATTTAAAAGCGGACTTTATCTTATTGCAAAACAAGTCATCAATGTGGAAGTTGTGTAATCTTTTTTGTGCCAGTGATTGAGTATATCCTGTTTTCATACAATTCTCCAGTGTCAAATGCTCAGTCTGATGATCAAAAGAGGACTAAGGAAAGTCACAGTAGAAAACTCAATATGAATCAGCAAATGACAAACACGCAAAGTAAGTGGCCCTAACTTGATTCGATTTCACAGTATAGAAGTAACAAAACACAACAGATGCATATGACCAGCTTCCTGTGGAATTGCTTCCGGAGGCTGTCTATTAATGACCCAATGATTCCTGTCATCTTTGGCAAGGGAACTGATCAGACACTTTATTTTTGGTTCTTGGCATTGAGAATGATCCCTGAAAAGATCAAATTGGCCATTTGTTGTCCGACTGTTGTACACCAGGTATTGAATATCAAAACGAAACTTAAAGTAGTCTATTGGTACTAATAAAAGCTGAATTTACTCTGCAGGGTCATGCAAGCCTGTGAAAAGAATAATATGTCTGAATATCGGCACAAAATAAGTTTGACCACAATGGCTTGTTTCTATTACATATCAAAATAGTCCAGCTATCAAAATTTATCCTTAAGTCCAAAAGAAAGAACGGAAAATCTCTAAATCTTGTTGTACTTAACAAGGACGTAGACAGAAACCATCACAATCAAGGAAAGGATCGGAAAGTCCGGTAATTTGAATGTCTTACAAAAATAATATTTTATATGTGTGTAACTGTTAATGTCATGTTTGGCTTAATATCACATTTTCCTCGGACAAATAGAACATAATAAGCAATTTCCACTGTCTTTGTGCTTGCGTTGCATAATCTCTGGTTGAGGCTTACCAACCTGAATGTTTGTATTTATTGATAATGACACATGGCAATTTAGCCTGTGTCAAAGAATACAGTCTTGTCTTTACTTTAAGTGTATGTGAATATGTGATGGGTTTTCACATCCAAAAATTACTTTAAATGTGAAGAGACATGCAATACATCTAGATGTAATGTTACAACTGACAGCTTATAGCCTCACAATACAAGGTTTGGAGAGATGCAGGTCGAAGAACACTAGTTACAGTTTTACAGTCATCATAATGATCTCATTTGGGAAACTTTCAATTTTGATATAAAGTTGGACATGTTTAAGACTTGTTAGTATGCATGGTGGTGGTGTTGTTGACCTTGTTCTCATTTGGGAGCTGACACTTACTTGGATTGGGTTTACATGGTGAGTGTCCTTGATAAAGCAGAAGAACCTTACCCTTTGTGAACACCTGGTTTTATTTTTCTGGGAGTTTTTTTTCACGAAATTGCAACACAATATACATTGTAACAGTATTTTATTATCATTATTATTTGAGCATGAAAATTCACGTCATCAATTTTTAAAAAATGCAAACTTGCACCATGTGATCAATGCATAGATATACCAAAACTATACATCGTAAAACATAATGAAGAGAATTAGTATATTAGATTCTCTTGAAACTAAGATCATTTTCAATGCAAAGCCTCTTTATAAAACTTCATGCTATCTTCACTATAATTCAGCTCCTTTTAGCCTCCCCGTTAAACAACACTACTACCCTGGCCTTTCTACAATAAAAGTCTGTGTGTTATACTAAACCTACAGTCCTTTGTCTCTACTTTCCATTGTCTACACTGACAATCTGCTCCTCTATATTGCAGTTACACTCAGCATCACTACTCCTTCCCCTTTTCACTGAAATTATGCTCCTTTATACTGAATCTATACTCTTACTGGAAATAAAGGCAGCACTGCTACTTCCTCAATTCTGCTCATTTGCACTGATGTTATGCTCTGTGAACAGCATCACAATGCGTGTTCAAAACTGAAATTCTGTTTATACTGAGTAACCACCTCCTCTGCACTGAAATTTTCCTTCTATAAATGAATACTCTAGTCCTTCGTTGGTATCCAACTCCCTACTATGTGTTCTAATGATTTACCAGTCAGTCTCATTGTCAGACATCCACAGGAATTAACAATATGAGGATATGTTCTTGTTGAACTACTGCTGCACTATATGGAAGCCCTGCTGTATTGCCTCAGAGCTGCACTGCATGGAAATCAAAGTCTCGCCACATTACCTGGAAATCATACTGCTTTACTATCTGGGCATCTTTGTGAATATTTCCTACATTACCCAGGGGTAATTATAAGCATACTGGTGCACAGAATTACAACTGAACTATATAATAATCATACTGGATGACTACTTTGTGGGAGTGAAGATAAATTAATGATGTACTGTCTGAGAGTCATGCTGGTACAAAGCTCCCATGCTGCCCCTCATCTGACACAAGGACTGGAAGTTGGTCTGCAGCGAGGCCAGGACACTGTTCAGCTCAGACAGCATGGTCTCCTGTAAAGAGACAGATTTTGATTTTGTTTACATAATTACTAGAGAACACTAATTTCTTATTAAACGCTTACTAAGACCTGTAATTGGAAGTCCAATTCTTGGGCTGAACTAAAGTTGTGGTCACAATGAATAAATGGAGATACTCTGGGGACAAATATCTGACTGACATTTCTCAGTCTTTGTTTGTTTCCTGACAAATATTTACTTTCATTTCTGATCAGAATCTGTTATTACCAATTTTCCATCTGAAAATGTGAGTGTTTTTGTCCAGGAGATGTTCTCCAGGTGTGTGTTGAGGTCTGCCAACAAAGGAGCTATCTGAGGGAACAATGCTGCAGCAAACCTATTAAGTACAAAAAAGTTACAAACATTTGTCTATGTAAGATCTCAAATCAAACTACAAACAGCATTTAATACTCAGTGATGCTTACATACTCTGAGAAATACTAAAAGAGGTTCTTAAAAAAGAAGTTCGAACATACAATTATGAGGTATATATGTAATTTTTGTACATATCATGAAATATGAACAAGACAAATATACATTGGTTTCACTAAGGTTTTTCAGCACATTGGCTTTCTTGAGACGATTAATTCATTACGGCCTTAGTAGTACAGTAATATTTATAAATGCATATCATTTGCCTCCCTGACTTCTCTTATAATGCAAAGGATTTTTTAAAAATGAAAATAATTTTCTGAAACTCAAAAAAAGAAAGTTGCTGGAACCTGTCAGGCAAGTTTCACAACTAAAATGTTTCAAAGAAGTCACACTGCATAATGAGAATGTAAAAAAGAAGTGTATGATTGGGTCCATCACAAATAAAAGGCAACAGATGTACACGACGATGTATACGTCATAAACTTTTTATCATTAAACTTTTATCTCCATCAAAACAACTTTCAGTTTTGAGTATTTGACATGGAAATCAGTATACCAGGTAGCTGATAATGATCATGCTAGGATATGTAAGAGATAAGCTGACTGTAACTATAAACTTTATTTTAAAACAACTGTGAAAAAGTTACATCAACAGTAAATTTCATACTTGTGGTATTGGGCTTCCAGTTTAATGAAGTCACCAACAAATGGCTGCTGCAGTCTCACCAACAACTGAGATTTACACTCGATGATAGACTCAATGTGTGAGTTTAAGCCTTTGATTACTTTTATCTTGTCCTCTGGAATAAAAACATTGAAAACATTTACTTATTAACACAATCACGATCACTTTTATCTTTGCTGCTGGGAAGGAGATTAGGCTAAAAACACTACATTTCAAAATATAAGACCCCTTAGTGAACGACATCATGGCAAATCTGTCGTATCAAAGAAACTTATTGACTGCAAAATATTCTGTTCAAAACTTTAAGCCCACATATCAATATCAAGATGCTATGGATAGAAGTACATATAACAAATACATTGTCTCATGTATTGGGGAATATGGTCATCAAATCAGTAAGTTACAAGAAGTATCAACAGAGACAGAGCACAAATTGTGTGTAAGGTTATAATGGATATATCCACTGAGATGATGGTTAATAACAATAATACTAGTACATATTATAGAATAAGGCACAACCCTGGAATTAGAACATCAAAATGATAGACAAGTAAAGAGCCATCCTATTGTACTCTAAGTTAACCAAAAAGGTTATCTCAATACTCACTACTAATCTGTGAGAGTTATTGTCTTAAGGTATTTTACATTTTAAACGTACCCAGGCTGCTAAAATGTGTTATATCCTGTGTTTCCTTGTCTTGCATTCGTTGTTGTATCTCTAAATGAATCTGAAGAACATAAGATTGGAGTAACAATATATAGTACTGTATCAAGTTAAAAATTATCAGTGTATGATCATTTCTGTGTTAATTGATATTAAGAACAATGAATTGTTCCCTCATAAGCTAGCCTCAGTGTCTTGTAAAATTGCATTAAACACATACAAAAATGTACCTCATTTCATCATAAATGCAGAACCCTCATTCTTGTAAATAAATTTTTATTTTGAATTTTCTACTACTCTGAAAGAAAAAAGAGACAACTAATTCCTCAATTGGAAAATTAAGACAGAATCCCTTTACAGTATGGCCTTACATTTTTCAGATTTGTTTAGAATTGGTACTGAAACCTTCGGAAACTGATGCGAGATGGACCTTTCCAGTACTGCAGATAACATGCATGAAAGTAAAAACAAATGTAACACCTTCCTACCAATGGTTTTGTTAATGTTGTGACAGAGTCACTACATTGCTACTGGTTTTCTGTCACTTGTTAATCATTATAAAATGACATAAGATCATGTCTGCTATATACAGTTCAAAAATATAAATATGTCCACATGTATAAATCTCGGAGTCTGCAGCTCCCAATCTATAATCACATTGACTCTCTGGTGTCCATGTAACACTCCTCTCTCAGAACATAATCGTCCTTTATTTATCAATGCTTACCTCAATGACCAAACACCAATTTTTGTTCTCAGAGCATGTTTAATTTCAACAATCACTTTCTTTAATTTTAATGGTCAATCTCAATTGCATCAAGTCACTTAAAGCAATAAACACTCTCCTCATATCACTGGACACTCTCTGGACACAGCTGACCCACTCTGACACTGCTGTCTGATCTGCCAATTAATTGAATTATTGGACAGTACAACTGTCTCTCTACCTGAAAGTTTTTCTTCTTCTACTTTCAAAGATATCACTCACAATTTAGAGGTTACAATGTAGCTATGTATCAAGCTAGCTACCTTGTTAATTTCTTCCTTACAGGTGTACATGATGTCCCCCTAACATTTTCTGGCTAGAGCAGCTATAATATATTTACCTTGTTAATTTCCTTCTTTGCAGCCGTAGTCTCCCTTAGTAACTTGATAAGTCGACAAGATGGCATCTTTTCTTGTACTTCATCCTGAAGCTTTTCCACATCATAATCACTTCTCTAAAATTTGAGAAAAAAAAATAATAATGTAAACTTTGATGAAACTCTGTTACTGTATGTATCAAGATATCTGTCAAGGACACAAAATTTCATACCTGAAAATTACTAAAAATGAAAGGAATTTGACAGAATGCAAAACAGTCAATTTCTGACAGCAGCAAATCTATGCATATATGAATATCTTTTCACGTACAATCAGGGAATGAAACATTGGTCGCTTATGTGAAAGATGATTGCAGTATTCAGACATCAGTGAATCTTATTAATAGCCATTGCATTTCATCAAAGATGATGCTTATATGACATTATTCAGAAGATTTCTAATGGTTTTTTGGCCTTTTTGAAAAAGACATTGTCTGAAGTGCTGAATACTTTATAAACATAACTTTGGTAGACAAATATTTTTCTACACGAAAGGTAATGAGAAGTTTGATAAATGTTATACAAGACACATTGACAACTGATTTAAAGACTTTAACTCTGTTTGTTGATGAATTTGCAAGAGGGGCTTGTTCCACCGAGTGATAGAGCATGGATAGAGAGAGATTTTGTGTGTCTTTTGATATCTACATGACCAATTCTACAAAAACATTTCTTGATTTATTTGGTTACCCATTGATTTGAAAGTAGGAGAAGGCATTCCAGTGTACACTAGCTATTATGATGTAGCCCAAAGCACTGGTATTATGTGTGGAAATCTAAAGTGGTAAAATACTTCCAGTAAACAAAATGCATTTTGAAATTGCACTAAAATCTTTTCTGGCATCTTGGAATAAGAACATCCTACCCAACAAGAATTTTTATTTGAAGTCGTGTAGAGCACCAGCAATTCTGACTATATAGGCAGATTTCGCTGTATTGATAAATTTGACTACATATATATAGGGTAAATGTAAAACACAGGTTACGTTCGGTCACATTTCTTTCAGACACACCGGAAAAATGGATAACACACCATGTAAGTCAGTGAAATTAATGTTTTTGGCATATTTGTTCAATTTCAGATATTCTTTGTATGTGGATTGTGTGGTGGAAGCAAGGGAGATTTGAGGTGTTTCAATATTGAATTAAGTAAATTTCATTTCTCACCATCGGAACATGTGGGTAAGGGATACAAGTACCAAACAATTGCAACGACGAAATTTATCCAATTTAACCAGAAATGGTGCCATGTTAACATTTGCCCTATATACGTGTAGTCAGATTTGACTAAAAAGCCAAATCTGCGTATATAGCTAGACTTGCCGGTGCTCCAGTACCTGACTTTAACTCAGTAGCGCTGTTCGTTAGCCAGCAGCACCTGACCAAAGACATTCCTATGAAAAAAGTCGCGGTTTATGGTGTTTAATCATTGAGCTATGAAAGTAAGCATTGCCCCTGCCATATCATAATTATGAAAATATTCAACTATGGAAGTGCTTGACAAGTTCAGACAGATTGAAGACTTTAACCGATGCCAGTTTCTCTTACCTTGTTGATGTGTCCAGTTCTTTCTCCGAGTATCAACGCATTCCTTAAAGGGACAAGTGAACTATCGACACCACTCCATGGATTGGAGGTGTCCATGACAATGGAAAACCGTTCACTGTCCATTTGTTTGGTTGTTTACATTTTTCGATGTGTTCGATTTGAAGTTTTCCGCTTCAGTGTAATCTTATCTCCTATGAAGAAGAGCTCTTTCTTCGCGTAGTAATATGCATCACTCTAATGAAACAAACTAGTGACTTATTTTCCGGCATACCATGTTTATGTACTACCATCCGTGAATCCCTTCACACATTTTCATACTAATGAAATAAAACTAGTTTCAAAGATGACTTTTGCTACTTTCCAATTTTAACAGTCCTTAAAAAATTAGAAGAATTATTGAAAGATTGTTACCGTATTAAATAGAATATGATAAAGGTTACTTCAAGAAAGCCTACGTGTTTTAGCTAATACTTTCAATTCTCACCGAAAAAGCAACTATTTTCAAGAAATCGCGACAATGAGTTTCGATTTCACCAATTTCTGAAGCGTTTATTGTATACACACACAGGTAAAACTAATAAATGTACACAATTTGCATTGTACTACCAGAGACGCTGGTACTACTATTGATATGATTAATATAAGCTACTTCTATAGAGCGGTAAGTATCGTATTTTGGCTTTAAATGGATTGTAAATTATTTCATTTATCTATTTATATGTGGAGCCGTGTTCCGGTATTAACAAAACATGACACTTCTATTACAGAAGAATAATATATAGTTCTAATTCGATTAAGTGATTTGATGAAATATGCAGTGAAAGCAGCGACGTATATATCACATATATATGTGTTATATACGTCTCTGGTGAAAGCATTCAATTTATAAATCGCCATTTGGTCACTAATATGAAACATTGATCATGTAGAAGAGGATAGTATTCAGTCTTGCAAACCTGTGACATTCTACATAATGAAAAAATGGATGCAGAGACACCTATGTCAGAAGGGAGGCATCTGAAGGATTTCAGATAGGTGTTGTGTAACACACTTGTATGAGTCACGAATCCGCCAACTAATCTGAGAAATAACCTCGCCGGGGTTTTTGTCTGGATCTCGCCAACGCCCGTAGATTTGTCCCACACAAGTTGAGTAAGGTAGCTCCAAACCGTTATCATGTCCCACGCAAAATCCACATGGACTACGACATGTAATTCGGATGGATGCACCTTAGATACATAGTCGGGAAAAGCACCGCAAAATGATCGAAACTAGAGAAAGCAAACGTGACCAAGAAGTGTCATTTTATCTATTTTCTTCATCAAGAGATGAAGGCAGCGAGAGATTGCTAACTACGATAACGTGGTTTCGGACAACGGACGGACGATTTCTAACTGGCGGGATTGTCGTCATCAGAAGACAGATAGGCCAGGTATTAAAACTCGGATGATACCAATGCAGGGTGCAAGGTTAATGTGATTGATGTATGAGATCCCCACGACAACAGTTAAGTCACAGAAGAAAGTAATAAATGGGCAGTTGGATAAAATGGCTTGGAATCCCCGCCCAACTCTACCTCTGTTGCATTGTCATTTCCAAGCAGCAACAGCTCCCACTGGCAGGATTTTTCAAGGAAATCAGGGTAGAAAAGTGCAGAATGTATGCAAGGATTTCGCAGACTGGAGCAATTTATCTGCATTAACATCTGAAAGCAAAAATGTAGAAAATGTTACAGCTGAAAGACATCACAGGTAACACGTGCTGGGAAGCGTATGGAATAAAGATGCACTGTAAAAAGGCATGTGATTATGAGAGGTGTTAGAAGGCAGAGGAATACACGTCAGCTTTAAATGCGATTTGACGCACAACCATAAATTTATAATTTTTAGCACGTGTGAATGATTATTTCATCATGTAATGGGAATTCGAATAATTCATTTTCAAAAAAGTTGTACTTGCGTAAAACATAAAAGTTTTATCCGGATTTTGTATCACCGGATCCTAACTTTAGAATTATTTTATTGTGTACCGTGTTGCCATTACATCTATTTATGTAATAAAATAGGGTTGTTTCATAATACACTGACTTAAACGATTTTATGAAATCCAGAAAACAAATGTAAATTATAAACTAAGTCGATTGATGAAAAATAAATCACTTGAATGGACTATATTTTCAATAGTCTGTACTTCCGGTTTGAACGTTCTTCGGTGAGCTAAACCTGACGTGGACTACGATGCTTCGTTCTCGAAGTACATGTAATACGAAAGAACAAAATCCAAAATAAAATTATGTAAGTACGCATTGTTCGATGTCTTCTTGTAAGTTTTTTTCTGCCTGTATTAATTGTGAATTGTTCCGGAAATTTTCGATGGGTGACAACTGACAAGGCTGTTTTCCCAAATGATAATCAAATCAGAGATGCACAGTAAACATAAGAAATATCAGCGTCTTTTCTGAACGTAGTCATCAGCTAAAATGAACATATCTGTGAATGCAACTATGCAATAGCTACATGTATATGAAATTATAATTCCAGACTATCGACATGGATGACTTGGCAGCAAATCCGTTTGCACAGCTGTTTCCTGATATTAATGAGGCAAGACAGTTTATGATGGTATCTGCCTCTCAGAAACAAGAAGTTTTGGAGCGACAGGAAGCTGAGAAAGTTCGCAAATGTATTCAACTCAGCAGTGTTCTAGAGAAAGTGTTTTTATTCACACTCGATCAAGGTTGGCGTTTGGTCTATATAATGAATTATTGTGGAAATATTGCTTTGAATATTGAAAATATAAAATACATGTAATTTTCTGTGCATGTTATTCCCTGTAAGCTTCACTGTTCACATGAAAAAAATCTTCTGCCTTATGGTAGTAGTATAGAAGTAGAATAATCATATATATATAGTCTATCTAGAGTTCACAGCTTCAAGGTTTTACTCCTAGCCTGACCCTGGCATCCTCAATATCCCAGAAATTGTTCTCACTTTTGCTCTTTGCACCTCTGGAATTTTTCTTGGCAATATTAAAGGAGAATGGGTTTCAGGAGAAATAAAGCAAACAAGTCACAGTCTGATATGCTCCTTTGAAGATTACAAAGGAGCAACACCCAATTTCAAAGCCAGTACAACATACAGTTATGTGACCTAGAGATTCATTTGATGTACATCAAAGATCAAACTGGTAGTCATGTCTTATTCACATGGTGTCACAAATTGAACCTTTAATTTTGCCGTGAAATTTTTCAAGGGTGCAGAGAGTTAAAGTGAGCATAACAGCTGGAGTATCGAGGATGGTAAGAAGCAAACAATATCACATGGTATGGTGTAATAACAGATAGAAAATGAAAGGAAATGAAATTGGTAAATTTATTCCAAATCCAAAGATTAAAAAAAACACATGAGCAAATGATCGTGTGAATATTTATTACTAATTTTAATGATTTACTCTCCATTATTCTTTACTAGAAATAGCTGATGACAGCGAAAGGCCATCAAAGTTGGTGATTATCAGAGAATTGAGTCAGTCACTCCAACAGGGCAACCAAACATGGTTGGACATGAAATATATAGAACAAGTATGTAAAGAACAATGTCCTACTCTGAATGTTGTCTCGTGATCTTAATTCACAAAATGATTTCCTGTAATATGTTGATCTACTTTATTGGATAGAGCGATGGAGCTGAGGATGAGAGCTCTGAGCAATTAACAGCTTTAACACTATATTTTCAAAAGGAGATATACATTGTGATGCAGAAATGTATTAACTGCAAAAGTGACATAAGCTTTGAAAATTAGAATGAAAAATAAAAGATTGAAAATGATTTACACAGGCTGTGTTTGAGCGTCTTCTGTTGAACAACCCTATGAATGATGTCATATCAACAAGACACAAGAGTTCGTCAGATGATGCTAAAGCCCGACGACTCGCTGGAGAAGGAGAGGTGCTCCGGTACCTTATGCAGTGCTTTGAAAGGTCCTTGGTTGCTAAAAAAGACAAACAGGTACTGCATTTTCTCTGTTTTGAGTGGCACTGTTAATGTTGAGAAATAAAATTACTGGTACCCTATACCATGGAATGTTGAGTCAATAGGTGTGTGTGATTTATCACTGATGGATTGAGATACATTTTGTATGTCATCAAGCACTGTTGTATCAAGTACACCTTGGATGTAGCAACCATGTAGTAGCTAATATCACATGCAACATGGAAACTTAAATGAAAATGATATAAGATAAAATTTTAAAAATGGGTTTACACTTTGATAGTAATAAAACATATATTTATGGTTATTAAACATATTTGGTTTTTTCTTCTCAACCATTGTCATGTGAACAATCAAACAGCTATTATTATAAGTAAAATCTTTATTTTTGTCAAAAATGTCTAAAACATATTTATTATTACATCAGAATGATGAGTTTGCATCTGAGTTAACAAAATGCCAAGAAGTAATGGTGCTGAATGCCAGTACGAGTTTGCAGCAGCCAGATCTATACCAAGGACAGGATCCCAGGTCACAGTTCATACAGCTGTACCAGGAGGAGATGGGTGGGGCTCTTGGTAGGTAGCAAATTCACAAATTGTTGATGTTTTGAGGTAGGTTGTTTTAAGTGTGTTTCTGAATGATAAATAGAGAAAAATAATACAGAGTTATTGCCATTGTTAAAATATTGTCCATAGCATAACTTAGCATGCATTTAAGGTAGGATAATGAAACTTGGTGCATACATTAATCATATAAAGACAGTGTGCAGTGTACAAATATTAGGGCATGTATTTCCTTTATTACAGAGTTATAGCCCTTTGTTAAAAATTTCTTGTCCAAATCATGACTTTGCCCACATTTAAGCAATTATCATGAAAGTAAGTGTATACATTGGTCATATTAAGAGAAGTCGCTGTGTTCCAAATTCAGGGCACTTAATACCTCAATAACAAAGTTATTGCCTTTTAGGTCATCTGACCCAAAGGGTCAAGATGACCTATTGCCATCGTGCATCATCTGTCGTCGTGCACCATCCGCCATCTGTAAACTTTTCCTTTAAAGGACTACTCATGCTTAATGCATGGTTAGTTTTCAACCAAATTTGGTCTAAAACATCATTGGGGATGGGGGATCATTTCTGAAATTCAGAAATTTGGTTCAGCCCCTAGGGACCAGGGGATATGGCCCCAAAAGAATAGTTGGACAATGCTTCACTTCAAAACTCTTCTCCTCCTTAATACTTGGATCAATCTCATTCAAATCTTTCTGTAACATCAGTAGGGATTGGCATAAGATTCTAAAATTCATAAATTTGATTCAACCCCAAGGGACTTGGGGGCTGGGCACCAAAAGGGGAAATTAGACAATATTTTGCTTCAAAATGTTATTCCTTCAAAATGCTACTCCTTCTTAATTAATGCCATGGTAGATTTCAACCAAATGTGGCCTGAAACATTATCAGGGAGTGGCAATGATATCAGACACCAATGAAGTGATCCTGAGATTGTCCTGACCAAATCGTATTTTTATGCTTTGGTCCAAAATCCAACATAGAACAAAATAGTCTGAACTTTTAATGTTTCATTCACACCAATGACAAAAATATCAGGAATTTGATTTTTCTTTTTTTTTTTAAAGAAAAGAAAGAGTTGATTTGTTGTTACTTTTCAGTCTGATCAAAACTTCAACATGGTAACCACAGAAGTTATTTTGTAACATGATGATGCAACTGTTTTCATGCACAGAACTTACCATTTATGAGTTCCTGATAATTTCAAGGATGTTCTGAATTTGAATTAATCAGATTTATCAGACCACCATCGGCAAATTGTGTGGTTAGTCAATCCATTCGTCGAATGTCAGATGACCGTTAAGGGCCATGACCCTCTTGTTTAAAATTTAGTGTCCAGGTCATTACATTGCCTGGATATTGAAATGTGATGTATACATCAAACATACAAAAGCAAGGTGCAGTGGAGCAAAGTCTGGGCTCATGACCCCTCAATACAGAGTTATTGCCCTTTGTTAAAAATTGTAACCTGAGCTTAGCTTTGCTTGTATTAATGTTAGGATAATGACACTTGTATACATTAGTCATGTTAAGCAAATGTGCAGTGTACAGAATTCAGAATTATGACCCTTTGTTGAAATTTTGTGTCCAATAAAGCTGCTTTCAGGAGCATTTAACAGTTTCACTGATACTCTTGTACATAATTTTCTTTTTTTTATTACAGAGGAGGAAAGTGGCAATATCGAATTCTTTGATTTGATTGTGAGACAGATGGTGGCTTATGATGACTTAGATGTATTAGAACCTGTGTTTAGACCTGTGTTAGAATATGCCTCTAAAAAGTTTTCTGAGGACTTTACACTGTCCAGCGGAGGCATCACGCGCTGTATAGATCTTCTAGGATTCTTCACTCGACATGAGGCTCTTGCCAAGGTAGATCAAGTGGTGATACACCGTGTTAATGTTGAATTCATGGGACTTTTTGTACTTAAAGACAATAAAAGACAATGGCATTAGGTAAAATTATCAAAGTTATTTAAAGGTTTCAAAGATGCCTATATTGCATCTATCATTTTAATAGTTTTGTTTGCTAAAAAATGTGAAATATGTTTTAATGATCAAAAATTGTAATATGTTTAGACCTTATACATATAAAATTTACAGGTAGACTTATAGTTTTTTTTCTCATGATACTAAAATCTTTTCAGATATTTATGAAATACATTGAGCCTAAAGACTGGAACAGTGGCAAAGCTTATGAGAGGACCCTGCTAGGCTCTATGCTGTCCTTGAACTGTATACCGGTGACAGAGCTGGGAACCAACCCTTGGTTTGACCAGCCATCTTCTAAACAGAAGAGAGAACTAGATATAATGGAAAGCAACATTCACCAGGTGTCACATTTTTAATAATTTATGAAAATTAATATGTATTGTTTTCTTCTTTTGGACTATTTTGTTTTGCTGGATATGAAATGTATGTTTCCATGGAAAGTTAATGTTTAAATGATTAAGGTAATATGTATTTTAATGGTAGATCTAAGGATTTCCGATGATCTAGCAATGCACACATTTCTATTCATTGATTACCAGGTGTGCATTCTTTTATATTTCATATTTGTTATGGAAAATAATTACTTCATGTTTTAAAGTTGTTGGAGAACTTGGGGACAAAACTGCACAAGTTTTTGGATACACTGATCAGGATCTCACCACACCTTCGACACCTTGTTCTTACCTGGATAGGGAAATGTATTCACGCCAACCTAGGTAAAGCTTTTCTCACTTGGTAGAGAAAAATGTTCACCTCATAACCCCAGTCTACATAACATCTCTCTGTCTCTAGTACATTGGGAAATGTATACAGCTAATCTATTATACACAAAAAATATCCCTCACCAGGATAAGGAAATGTATTCACAACAAATTATGTCAGTGTATTCCAGTCTAGATCATACTTCTTTCTCTTGAATGGAGAAATGAATGCAAATCAGTCTGTATGATATATTCTAAAGTTCATTGTATAACTGACCATCAAAATTGATTTAATTTGATTAACTGAAATATCATTCTACAAAATGCAGTTATTCTGTATGTAGCTTTAAATCCTTGTTGGTTTCAGGGAGATCAAAAATTTGGTCCTCACAGATGCCACAGCTGTTCAGTCAGATGTTTGCATCGGATGGGTTCTGCCTGAACTTGTGTTTTGTCATGCTGCAGTTCTGTTACCCAATCACAACCAAGGAGGCGAAGCTGTTGATGATACAACCTAGCTACACAACAGTCATCACGGCTGACGACCAGCATGCTCAACAAGTTGGAGTACACTCGAAAGGTAGCTACTGCATCGTTTCCTGACAGAAAATATTTGATAATCAATTACTTAAAGTCATTATGTTTAGACTACAGAAATCTTGCATTGTTTAACATCGATATAAACTCAACTTGGAATACTATAGCTTGGTTAAAGGTTGTAAGGATAGACTGAGATGTCTGGAGGTAAATTTTGAAGTACGTAAGATTGGGTTGAGCTAACAGGATGGGTTTTGAAATAAGTGAGGTTGGGCTGAATTACCAAAGTATATTTTAAAAAGCATAAAGTTGGGCTCAGTTATGGGGATGAATTTTGATATGTGTTAGGTTGGACTTGGTTATCAGGATGGGTTTTGATATATGTGAGGTACGATGGGGTTGTCAGGATGGATTTTGATAGTTGAAGTCTAGATGAGTTAACAAGTTGGATTTTGAAACGTGTTAGGTTGGGCTAAGTTATCAGAATGAGTTTTGAAGTGTGTGATGTCAGACAGTTATCAAGGCAAATATCGAGGTCTGTGAGGTTGAATGGAATTATCAAAATGGAGTTTTGAAGTGTGAGATTGGGCTGTATTATCAGGTTTGTCTGTGGGCCATTAAAATCTTGATATACTCTGATGTACACTGAATATTTATCAAATGAGTCAGATATGTCAAAAGATTCAATAATTGGGCTGGATCATGGTTAAAGAAAATCATAAGAATATCAGAAAGTTCAGTTTTGTATACAGGGAATATTTTGAATACAGTGTAGTAGGTTATGTTTTTAGAAACAACATCTTTTGAAAAGTATGTAAATATATAGGGTATGTTGTTATACAGGCTTAAACAAGGAGACCTGTCTCATCCCTCTGGATGAGAATAAGCCCAAACTTCAGCCAGAGGACCACTACAACTTTGTCACCGAGTGTTTCTTCCTTACACACCAGTGTCTGAACGTAGGATTCCGAACTGTACATGGACGCTTTCTCAAATTAAATCAGAGTTTACACAGAATACAGCGACTCTATCAGGATGTGAGAGACCAGGGGGATAGTGCTGTAAGAGAGGTCAAAAGTGAGATGGATAAAGGTAGGTCAGAGGGCAGATATAGATAAGTGTAGACCAGAGGTTACAGAGGTCAAGAACAGGAAAATACCAATATGTCAACATAATCATAATCCAAACTCAAATTCAATAAAACTAGGGCAAAATATGAACAAAAGAATGATTTACACAGATACTCCTGAAATTGTACAAGGAAACTAAGACCAGGTGTTCCAGAAGAGTAAGTGTCTTCTGCTTTATCAATGCCTTCCCACATGTAAATCTTGGTCAATTCAAGTAAGTAATGTCACATTCTAAAATGAGAACCAAAAGGCAAACTTATGAGCATCAAACACTATAGTTTGGGTTAGGTATGGAAAAAAATTAGGCCACAGGTTAAAGATAGGTCAAAGATCAGATGTAGATGAAAGAAAGCAGAGGTCAGAAACTGTAAAGGTTGGTCAAAAGTCAGATACCAATATCATAAAACTGTATTGAGATCTCTTTTCTCAAAAACTAGTAGGTTTAATTTAAATGACATAAAATTGTATCCCTTCACCGCATTTTGAATCAACAAGTTTTGAAGGAGTTATTGCCTTTTGTTTGTTTTTAGCATTTGACCAATTTCTCGTTAACTTGGTAGGCATTAAAATGGTTTTGTGTTTTTGTAAACAGCAGTTTGATTTGACCATATTTCAAAAAGTGATTGTCCATTCTTCTTTTCAGAGTTTTAATCTTGTCCAGAGATTTCTTTCAGTTTTCCTGACATCCCTTTATCATTAAAATATATAGCAGTGTGTTTCCTCCCAACATTTTGACTGGTTATCACCATTTCCATATTTGTATCTTTAAGTGTTTGTTTTTCAGCCATGTCTATATACTTGTGTATAAAAGCTGCTCTCTGTGAGCCACATATGCTTGAAAAAGCACTAAACTTTCATCTGGCAACATCCATCTGGCTGTCCAAAATCACAATATCAGATGATGTCCGATCTGTCAAAGAAATCTCGTTTCCTTTGCCCGAGGAGGTTCCCCTAGCCATATCTCACATTCCTGAGTTCGTGATGGGTAATGTTACGGACTTCACCATGTTCATGCACAGGTTCAAGGACAATCTGTTTCAGGTAGCTATTTCTTCCTCGTTCACAGTAAATTGTATTATTGAGTTTTCATGGAATACACTTGTCACTATACAGAGGCTTGGTAAAATGAAATATTTGGGACAAGTTTCATAAATCACATATGAAATAGAAATGAATGTGAGATATTTTTAATAACATAACTTAGATATATTGGCTACAGAAGTGAAGATTGCATTTTATTAGACTTATACAAAATCTAAATTAGCTCTATTGTCACCCTCTGTTTCTTTCTTTGTTGACTTCACAATGTATATGATGCCATAAAGTGTTGATGGCCAAATGTAAACAGTAAGAACCTTCAGCCAATCACAACTTATCTAGGTCATATTGAGCATTGGTAACATAAAAATATCATGTAGTTGTTGTTGTTACACTATTAATAGGGTAGCCATGCAATAAATATCCATACAGCACTCAGCCTTTTTTCTACTAATTTCAGATATAGTCTTTGTACACTAATATATGTATCTTATCTAGAAAGTTTGTCTATTTTCAATCTTGCACTTTGCATTCTTGTTGAAAAATAATTTCACTACATTGTGAATTTTATCCATTAATTTAGGTTGCGAAGGAAAGACTTGACAACTTCATGACGCTAATACTGGTTTTCATGGGAAGCCCAGAACGAATGAAGAATCCACATTTACGAGCTGAACTTGCTGAAACTTTGGCAGCACTCATACCCCCAAAGATGGATGACAATTCTGGTCAATATGACTTCATAAGGTAAGTTATAAGTTGCTACATATATTTTACTTTACCTAGTCTGGTAAATACCAGTATAATATTTATCATGATAGCACAGTCACTTTGAATTATTCAATATTGTCGTTATCCACTTAACGGTGATAGATATAATTGGTTTCAGACTTAGATAGCACAGTCACTTTGAATTATTAAATATTGTCGTTATCCAGTTAACAATGATAGATATAATTGTTTTCAGACATAGGTTGTTTTACTACCACCCCCATGTGAAGCACATTGCTGAGAAGCTGCTGCATGTATTTGTGAGTATAGAGATGACAGGTCAGAGTGTGGAGTTCGAGCAGAAGTTTAACTATCGCCGACCTATGTATATCACTTTGGAGCATATCTGGGAGATAGAAACTCACAGGGATGTCATCAAGGTACACCACATCTACCTATAGAAAATGAAGATTTTTTTTTTCTTTGTCTAGGTATGATGCTTTAATTATGAAACCAAATTAACCTTAAATAATAAAACTTCAGTCTAAGTTTGGTGTGTAATTTATGCAATCATTTCTAACTATAGAAATAAAGAAAACTTTATAGTAAAGGTATGTTATAGAATTCATGTAGCCATATCTAACTGTAGAAATAAACTTAAGTCGAGGTATGGTGTCTAAATTATTTCCTGGCTAACTAGCTTAAGTAGTTTGGAAAGAACTTGGTAACTTTGATTTTGTGCTTCCTTTGTACTAAATTCTGCATAGATTTTCCTCGTAATATACTGTCTTATGACATTTTCTCTTACACCATTTTTTGTGCTAGAACATGGTCATAAGTTGAGGTTAAAAACCAGTATGTGGGAGCTTTAACATTTGAATAAGTGTTCAGTTTTTTAAGTTTTAGGGTTTAATGATATTTTTATGATGTTTGAAAGTACAGTTACAAAATGCCAAAGCAGAAAATAGAAATAAGAAGCACACCATGTCCTTCTTCTCACAGATGATGTCAGAATATGCTGAAGAACACATAGAGGACACAGACCCACCGCTTTTCTTACGCTTTATCAACCTCCTAATCAACGACGCTATCTTCCTGTTAGACGAGGCTTTATCGGTAAGTGTTTCAATAGATGATGTTTTTAAGGGAGAGAACTGATGAATCCTTAATAACCCAAATGCCTAAAGTATTGACAAAAAAAGAAAATACCCAGATTTGTGTAAAAAAAATATTCGGGCTCTTCATAACTCAAAGAAGTTAAGTAAATGTCGAGGTGTGAATAACCTGCTGTATATGGCTGAAAATTTATTTGATATATGTAGTGTAACCACAGAGATATGCATGTACATGTACTTTTTGTGTTTTCCTAAATTGTGTTTTGTAGATTTGTATCAATGTGTCAAAAACTTACATCAATACAATACTGAAGTGATAACACCATATATCTGTTTAAGTTTTGACCAATCAGAATAGTACTTTCTATTCACTGTCTACAACTGTTAAATGGTGGTTCTAAGCAGCATGTGTGTGACACATGTGTATATTTTCTGTGATACTTTGTTAAATATATGTGATATATCAAATTTGTAACCATTAACTCTCCTCAATATTATGTATAAGTGCATGCTATACTTGTTTGGCTTTGAGACATTCTATTCCTATTTTTGTGCAACACAGTTCATGAGCCAGATCAAGGAGAAGCAACAGCAGAAGGAACGTGGGGAATGGCAAGAGTTACCTCCCCAGCGACGCCAAGAGGAGGAAAACACACTTCGACAGCTGACAATGCTAGCTCGCTACCACAACCAGATGGGCAATCATACCATCCACTCCCTGGAGATGATCACTAAGGAAATCACATCCATTTTCTGCCATCCCTCTATTGTTAATAGGATAGCAGGCATGCTCAACTATTTCCTCCAGCATCTTGTAAGTATTGCAATGGTATCAGTAGTATAGTTATTCTGTTGTGTAGTCTGTGATTAAACTTCTATATGGAGGTTCAAAGTTATTTCCCTTACAAGACTTTAATCCAGTTCCTCTACATTTCTGTTACGTAATTTTATCTACAGGTTGGTCCCAAGCAGAGAAATTTCAAAGTGAAGGATAAAGATGAGGTAGATTTCAAGCCAGATCAGACAGTTTTAGATATTGTGAGAATATACATGAACTTGGGAGGTACAGATTGTTTCTGTCTGGCTGTATCTGGAGATGGGCGTTCCTACTCAGCAGAGCTCTTCCCCAAGGCCATCAGTGTCCTTCAGCGTATATCTGCCTCTCCAGCCATCATCAGTGATTTTGAAATTTTCCAGGACAAATTGACGGTATAAAACATTAATTTCCCTATTCATTAACAGTGCCCCTATTGGTTGATATTTTGGGCCAAATTATGAAAGCTGTTTTATTTGTCTGTGTTTTACTTCCTGTGGGATTTTTCTTAGATAAATCTAGGATGAAAAATATTAATGATTATTGCTAAATAAATATTAAAGTTCAAATCTTCTTTAGAGCTAGAAATAGATTTTCTCAATTTTTTTTATTGATATGTAGTTTGCAAATTTAAGAAAGTGTATACACTACCCGATAAAGGCAATACATGATCTAGGTATTTTTTGTTACTGATCAGAAAATGCGAATACAACAAGAAGAGGAAGAAGAATTATTTGATGACGCCCCAGACGAGTTCATTGACCCAATCATGGGTACATTAATGACAGAGCCTGTTCTGCTGCCCTCCTCCAAAAATATTATGGACAAAAATGTTCTGGCTAGACACTTACTCAGGTAGGAGTCATCTCATCAGACTCTAAATCCAAACATCCTAAAGAAAAATGTCACACTTTCACAAATTAGAAGATTGTTAGAAAAAAGGATACACTAAGTATGATATGTGGATCAGTATTCACAATTTATTTCATTTTCAGCCTGTAGATTTTTGTTTTTGTTGTTGCTTTGATATTACACAAATTTTTCATTACACATGGGCTGTGTTGATAAAAGGTCAAAACAATTGTTGTTGAATAGATTGAATAATGATGTATTTGATCTGTAACTCCCACGATTACAGGAGATAGTATAGTAGCTGTCAAATAATTTCTATGATTAAGGTAGCTAGTTGTCTGTAATCTAGCTTTCTGTTGCACAGTGACCAGAGTGATCCATTCAACAGATCACCTCTTAGCCTGGACATGGTCACCCCAGCAACAGAGCTCAAGGATCAAATACAGCAATGGATGGCTGAGAAACGGCAGGAGAAAAACAAGTGACAGCAATCAGTGAACATTATGGTATATAAACAGAGCGAGTTGTGATATCCTTGTATTATGTCTGTAGACTGCTACAGTCTAACAATCCTACTAACATTCGGTACGCTTAAAAATCCGGAGTGGAAAGAACTCGTCCTGGGTTGCACTGGGCTGTCAGCGGAACAATACCAAGTATTATTCCTGGGTCTGTATGTGATCACCATTGCCACCACGTCATTCTGATTTCAATGCCTCAAGTAAGACTCATACCTCTGGTTAATTAGTGTCTTGCTCAACTGATTGAGTTAAAGAGATGACCTCTGTAGCTGTGACGTAGTTTTTACCAGAGTCATATCATCGTTAAAACTTAACACATCATGTAAATAATAAAATGAGCCGGCAGTGATACACACTGAAATACTTAAACCAATCATCAGTAAACCAGCTGGCAGCTACATCATTTACACAATTAAATCAGAAATCAAGAAGACAATCCTGTGCAGTGTTTCCTAAATTGTCAATTAAATAATTTCCTGTTGTATACAACAACATCTGTGTATGCCAACATGACCAGTATTACCAATCTTTGTTTGGCTGAGCTTATCACTTGTGAACGTTCCAAGTCATTTTGAGACAGGGTCTCCTTGTAGCAGCTGGTTGATACTTCACTGAACATATACAGGAGCCTCATCACATGTTTTTCAAAGCGATTAGGGATAAGTGGGTCCATATCACTAGTCATGAGATGTCAATATAGACAAGTTCTATATACAAATGTTTAATGTTGGATCCTAGTTATGTTTCTAGTGTACACAGATGAACAATGTCAATACACAGGTTTATACAGAAATGATTCTGGTACACACAGATTAACAAGGTCAATATAGACAGGTTTATATAGAAATGATTCTGGTATACAATGGTTAACAAGGTCAATATAGACAGGTTTATATAGAAATGATTCTGGTACACACAGATTAACAAGGTCAATATAGACAGGTTTATATAGAAATGATTCTGGTGTACACAGATTAACAATGTCAATATAGACAGGTTTATATAGAAATGATTCTGGTGTACACAGATTAACAATGTCAATATAGACAGGTTTATATAGAAATGATTCTGGTGTACACAGATTAACAATGTCAATATAGACAGGTTTATACAGAAATGGTTCTGGTACACACAGATTAACAATGTCAATATAGACAGGTTTATATAGAAATTATTCTGGTGTACACAGATTAACAAGGTCAATAAAGACAGGTTTATATAGAAATGATTGTGGTGTACACATATTAACAAGGTCAATATAGACAGGTTTATATAGAAACGATTCTGGTGTACACAGATTAACAGACTACTAATGTTTGATTTAGGTAGGGTATACTGTAAAAATCCCCTGATAATGAGATCATATTGGGGATATAGATATAACTCTCCATACCTATGTTTATATGTTAAAATGTTGAACATATCAATATAGTGTTGAGTTTTTTTCTTAGATTTCCTTCAATGGCTATATTTGATCATGCTTTGATATTTTCATGTTTCATATTCAGAGAGAGACAGCCAAGGTCATGAGTACTTTTACTTGAAATTCTATATGAACACCTGAGTGGTGTGCTGTAAATTCATGTATTTTTGTAGGGCTCAAATTTGGTTTATTAGATATCATTTTCATTGGTACACAATTTCATGGATAGATCTTACCTGATTCACTTGTACTAAAGATCATGGAAATTTTGTCTGGTTATCATTTCATGGGCATATGAATACATGGATTAAGTGTAACCACAAATTTGCCAAAAATAAAACCCCCCCAAAAAATTAAGGATTTTACAGTATTTGTGTTTTGAAGGGATTTGAACATATTATGTATCAAACTTAGTGTAATAGTAATTATGAGAGTAGGTCATATTGGTACTGAAATTCGGTGTTATTATTGACAGAATGTAAGGCATGTGTTCTGTTAGTCTTCTGAACATATGGATTATGTATTGTTTATAAGATGATAACTAAATTGTTTTTGATGTTTTGTATTGTTATATTATAATAAGGAGAATATACAGTGATCAGCTGTGATACACAATGGTGAACTCTCCACTGATAGGTTACTCTTTTCTGTTATAATCATTCTGAGGTGGTTTTTTTTTCCCCACCCGATGAACTTGGTAGGGATATTCAAATGGAATCTGTCCTTTGGTCTGTTGGGATGCTGCTTTCGGTATGATATCTTTCGAAGGACTTGTTGGATTTTGATGAAACTTGGTTGAAACTTGTTACCTTAATCCTTTATGATATAAAGGTATGATAAGCTGATTTTAATATTCACAGTATTATGTTACTAAATTGTTTTTACATTGATCACTTTCAACGGAGCTTCAACACTTTACTTTTCCATGTTACTCACTTTCAATGTATATATTTTACAAAGGATCATGGGTAGGGGATCTTGATGACTATGTCCTTGTATGAAATGTTTGATGTTTCTGGAAGTCTTAGAATTTAGAATTCAGTCATTTTTGTAGGATTTTCTTCACATAAATTCAGATTGTCATTTTCAAAATTCTGCTGAGTCCCTTTACATAAATAACTATGTTAATGAACAATGAGCACCAGTTTAGTTGTTTAAAGAACATAATTCTTTTCAGCATTAATTGTGGTGATGTGTAGTGTATCCAGAAAGCTTGCTTAGTTACCAAATGTATTGTCTAACAACACTGTGATTTTGTGACAACTGAATGTGACTGAAGATCAAGGACCTGTTAATTGGAAGTATAATGAGTGTAGCATGTGAATCGTGGGGAAATAAACAGGGGTCAAAATGCCATAATGATGAAGTGAAATGCAACTTCCCATCCTAGTCCACTTTCAGTGCCCAGGCCCAGCCTCTGTTCAGCAACAATGCTCTGGTAATTTTCAGTCCCTCAGCTATCTTGTTTCACACACAGCTTCCCTTTCTTGCTCTACCATCTGACACTTCCACATCTCCTATTCCTCAACCTCTTCTGCCACCTTGTGCAATCTTTTTATGATACGATGTCACTCCTTCGTCATTGCTACCTGGCATTATGACATGATGTGAAAGATAGTACCATGTTTTACACATTGTTGACAACTTAGTCCCCTGTCAGTCTTCACAGGAGGATGTGGAAGGAAATAGCAAAGTGTGGTCAAATGTTGCAACCGAAATGAGATCTTATATTGGTCCTTTATCCTGATTCAACAGCTTTGGCTGTGCAATGAACTTCCCCGTTTTTTTGGGGTTTTTTTGTTGCTTTTACACATTGCTTACAGGACCATGCTTAGCCATTGTCTCTCAGTGGTGGTGTTTCCAACGATGTCCTGTTGTTGTAATATGCCACTGAATGAAAGATCCGTCAAAGTCAGGCGAGCCGCCGCTTTGAATCATTCAACTACCTCTTAATTTGGTGGTTGGATTGAAATAATGTACCGCTCTGTCCATCTGAAGAGAAGCCGGATGAACTCCTTGTTATCTTCTTAAGTAACACAGATTTCTCATCAGCCTTGACAAGATTCCATGTGTAAATTCCCCCTCATGTGGTTTCTTGACAGACTGCGTCCATCCTCTTTTTCCAGTTATGATCTACCTCGGGACAATATTCCTTGACTAGGATATGGTTGGAGAAGTATTCCCATTAGCACTTAATTGGAATGATGACTTGCTTTGTAATCTCGTTGCCATGCATTTGTTTTTGTTGACCACTGTGACCTTTCTTCAGGACCAGGCATCCTGACTTTCGTGGAATGTGAATCCATTGAATCCATGTCACGTTTTCTTCCAGTGCTGTTAACACCCATCTGATAGTAGATAGGAAGTGGTTAATTTCAGATCATGAAGCCTCTCGGTAGTTTGTAGATCCTTACTGGGTCCATATGGTTCTTTAACACACATGTATGTTGTATTGTACATACATCTTAAGAAAGTTATGCTTCATATATCTGTTATCAAATTGATATAGATAGGTGCTGGTGGTTCCTGAAGATGGTATCTCATGTGGTTCAAATGTAATAGGTATAAAATCACTTCTACTGTTTATAATAGGAAATAAGGAACATAGACTCTAATGTTAGGTCGTATATGGTACAGTTAAGTAAAGTACACAGTTCATAGAGCGATGTGTTGGCTGTGTTAATATATCGTTTTCCAAAATACGTGTTTAAATGCTTTCCAGTTCACAGCAATGCAGTTAAATGGAATGAAACCATTACATTGTAATAAAATTGAAGTGAGATTGATGAATAAAATGTAAATAAAACAAATTGCTGTGTATTCATAGGGGATTTCATCACACATCTAGCACAAGCTCATAAACTTTGATCTTTGATCAATAAAATGAAGGCACTGCAGTCCGAACCCGGTGATAATTAGAGTCGAGGAGAATTATAACGAGCCAGGCTGGTCCTGGTCCAATCTCTTCCAAGAGTTGTCGTCTCCTTACACTCACTTAAACTAAGTAAGCGTAAGGAAGAAAAATCTGGGCAGAGATTGGTCCCGACCTTCCATATCCATTGACTGTTGTTGATGGTGCAACTCATCACACTGACCCACGATAGGGATGGTTAAGGTCAGGGAGACTTACAGGCAGTGACGTTATTCAATAGACACTTAGCTTGGATATATAAAGAATATGTATAAGTGGTTTATATATGCATATATAAGGGAAAAGTACAAATCTAAAAAAAACTCATGAAATAAATCTCCTCGCATTATAGAAATATGTGTGTGTGTTGGGGGGAGGGGGTGTATCTTGGTGTGTGTGTAAAAAAATCAACACTTGAACTAGCGCTTTTTTATTTCTGTATTTTCCAGCTCCACGTGGCGTTTCTAATATACTTATATATTGAAGTACGAAATTCTGGGATGACAAAGTACCTGATGCCCATTTCGCGCTGTTTAGATTTGCGAGTTTATCAGGAAAACAAGGCACAGAAAGGCCCAATATTGAATGTTTAAAAGTTTTCTTGTCGATGTCCAATTTTTCCACCACCAAGATACTATTACGTCATACCTTGAGCAATATCTAGTTCATATGTCATGTTGACCAGCGTGTTTTAGACCTGCATCATTGAATTGTCTTTTTTCATAATCTTGAATATTTCGGCGGGTTATTTATTCATTTCATAATCCTTAACCAATTACAAAGGTTATGTTGTCAGCATTTATCGTGTTATCACACCTAATTTCTAACTTATTATGTATCAAATGAAAGCCATGATAACACTATGTGAGCGTTTAAAAAGAATTTTTATTTATGAATAAAATACTGCTTGACATTAAATATCTGTGATTTGTTAAGTTATTTCAAATTAAGCAAATAGACATACAAGTACTTTCATACGTCTTGCATTTCACGATGACAAACGATGTTAAACGTGCTTCACAGCATATGGTCTTCACCTCACAAAACTTATATAACACGAATCTTAAGTTTATTTAGCAGATGTCTAAATTACCATCCAACGAAAGCTAATTAGAGAAATTCCTGACGAACAAAAACCTGATAAGAGACAGTCCATACAGTAACATAAACCTGATTACAGAAAGTCCATACTGTAACAAACCTGATAAGAGAACGTCCATACAGTAACAAAAACCTGATTAGAGAACGTCCATACTGTAACAAACCTGATTAGAGAACGTCCATACAGTAACAAACCTGATTAGAGAACGTCCACACTGTAACAAACCTGATTAGAGAACGTCCATACTGTAACAAAAACCTGATTAGAGAACGTCCACACTGTAACAAAAACCTGATTAGAGAACGTCCATACAGTAACAAACCTGATTAGAGAACGTCCATACTGTAACAAACCTGATTAGAGAACGTCCATACAGATGATTAGAGAACGTCCACACTGTAACAAAAACCTGATTAGAGAACGTCCATACAGTAACAAACCTGATTAGAGAACGTCCATACTATAACAAACCTGATTAGAGAACGTCCATACAGTAACAAAAACCTGATTAGAGAACGTCCATACTGTAACAAACCTGATTAGAGAACGTCCACACTGTAACAAACCTGATTAGAGAACGTCCATACTGTAACAAAAACCTGATTAGAGAACGTCCATACAGTAACAAAAACCTGATTAGAGAACGTCCATACAGTAACAAAAACCTGATTAGAGAACGTGCATACAGTAACAAAAACCTGATTAGAGAACGTCCATACAGTAACAAAAACCTGATTAGAGAACGTCCATACTGTAACAAACCTGATTAGATAACGTCCATACAGTAACAAAAACCTGATAAGAGAATGTCCATACTGTAACAAACCTGATTAGAGAACGTACATACTATAACAAACCTGATTAGAGAACGTCCATACTGTAACAAAAAGCTGATTAGGGAACG